GGAAGAAACATCAGCGGTCGTATATAGAGTGCATTGCAAAGACTGCCAATGTAATTATACGGGGGAGACAGCCAAACGAATAAAAACTAGGATACATGAACATAAATTGGCTGTCAGAAGGCAGGAGCAATACTTTCAAATATGGACGCACATGATTAATACCAGACATTCTTTTGATTTCAAGGAGGCAGAAGCCATTGCCCAGGACGCCTCCAAAGGAGGACGCTTACTAAAGGAGGCCTGGTTCTCCAACACAGACTCCATCAACTGATGTATAGAACTGCCCTCGGCGTACCAGGCACTAAGAGTGCAGGAAGAGCATGTCAAGAGACGGATGCCGATTGTCAGAGGCGAAACCAGGACTGGTGGGGGGGTATTTACTACATGACTAGACATAGGGAGGATCCCATAGACACGTCACAGGTAGAGACAGATGAGGGAATATTAGGGTCACAGACAGGTAAGGGTAGTAAAGGAAGAGGAGGTGGATATGATGAGGGACTGCAAGGAGAAGGGGACCAGGGAAGACTCTTGGGAACAGCAGAATTGATTGTACGGCCCAGAACACGGGGGAGGGGTATGCCCGACTCTCCAGGGGACTGATCAAAAGGAAAGGGGAGAGAGAAAAGAACAGAAAAGATGAGGCACGTAAGATTGGAAGCATATTCATGGGGGGAGAGGGGATATTAAGAATGGAGGAGAATAGCCAGGAACAGCAGGTAGAGCTGCAGATTAGAGGGGGGGGAGGAAACAGGAGAGGGTGGGGTTGATAGGAATGGAGAAGGGCAGGCAGGAATAATAGGCAGGACAGCAGTTTTGGGGGAGGGAAAGTTTGGGAAGGAGAGTCCAACAGGAACGCAGGTTGGTAGATGGGAACAGTACATAGGACAGCAGGTAAGGGGAGGAAGAATGCTGGAAGGAACAGCAAACAGAGCTGTGGATTGGAGGGGGGGGAGGAAACAGGAGAGGGTGGGACTGACAGGAAAGGAGAAGGGCAGATAAGAATAGCAGGCAGGGCGGCAGATTGGGGGGGAGGAAAGCTTGAGAAGGAGGGTTTAATAGGAATGGATGTTGGCATGTGGGAACAGCATGTAGGACAGCAGGTCAGAGGAGGAGGAATGTTAGAAAAGAGAGGATGGACAGAAATGGATGAACAACAGGTAAGTCAGCAGATTATGGGGAGGACATTGGAGAGGGGAAGATGGACAGTGGGGGAGGAGGGTAAACAGGAACAGCAGGTAGAGCAGCGGATCAGGAAGGAAAAGACATTGAGGAAGAGAACATCAATAGGAATGGTTGATGAAAGGCAGGAGCAATATGTTAATCAATAGGTGGGAGGGTTGAAGGAAGCGGGGGGGGAAGGATGACAGGAATGGACAACAAAGGGTGTATGAATCGGCAGGCTAGGGAGTTGGAGGAGGGAGATGAGATAAGAACTGGCAATGGAATGCAAAAACGGCAGGCGGACCAGCAGCCCAACAGGACTCATGTATTGCCGAATCGGAGGAGGCATATTGCATTGGGCAGAGAGGAGGGATTGAGGAGTGTGTTAATGATAACAGCGCAGGGAGGGGGAGACAGCACAAGGATGACGAAGCAGAAAAATACAATGTTAGACTGCAAAAAAGAGAGGGCGGAACAGTTAAGGCAGTCACAGGCAATCAGGAAGAGTGGCCCTGTCACGAGGGCAATGAGTAGGCAATTGGATCAGCAAGGGGATAAAAAGAACTTCCCACCCCCTAAGCCCCACTCTGAGGACGCTGGGAGAGGACTAGCGAAAGCTAAGTTGTTTTAATCTTGTATATAACTGTTTTTATTGTTTTAAATGTTGTTTTAACAATAAATAACTGGAGTATACTTTTCCCGGAGATCGAAGATTGCATCATTGAATATATATATATATATTAAGAATATTAAAAACAAAACAGTGATTCCTGGGTAGACTCATATTAAACAATAAAATATACGAACACCAGGAAGTTATAAAACTATAAAAAGTTTTAATAAAACCAGAATAAAACCAAGCTTTCGCTGGCATCTGCCAGCATCATCAGGGTAGTCTCCAGTCGATGGGAGAAGCTATTTATAAGTGTGGCGTTCTTTGCGCCCGGCTTTTTATAGTTTTATAACTTCCTGGTGTTCGTATATTTTATTGTTTAAATAATATATATATATATATATATATATATATATATAACACACCACACACACACACACACACACACACACACACACACACAACACACACACAACACACACACATATATATATATCTATATATATATATATATATATATATATTCTGAGGTTTTCGCGGGTATTTGTATATAGGTCTTTGGTTGTTCGGGTTTTCTCCCGCGTAAAATTGGAAGTGTCTTGGCAACGTTTCGACGAAGTCACATTCGTCATCTTCAGGCTGGTGTTTTTAGCTTCTTGCTTTGAGCAGCAATGTGTGGTCTTAGCTGTTTCTTCCTTTTAACTGCCAGTGAGGGGTATGAACTGATTGGGTGGGAGCTTGGCTGTGTTCTGATTGGGTGGAGGTGTGTTCTGAATGGTTAGGGGCTTGGCTGTGCTCTGATTGGCTGGGGGAGTGTTCTGTTTGGTTGTGCTCAGGTTAGTCTGAGTTGCAGAGGGGTTTAAGATTTTGGGGTTAGGGAGTCGTTTGTCAATAAGGGCGGGTTTCCAAATGGCTGGTAGGCGGGAGGTATCATCTCGCTTGTTCATGCTGTGTGGACGTTTTTCTATCTCGATGGCTTCTCTGATTATTCTGTTATTAAAATGTTCACTTTTAAAAATTAATTTTTAAATTTTAAAATTTTAAAATTAAATTTTAATTTTAATTGCCAACCTCTACATGGAACACTTTGAAACCCAAGCTCTAGAAAAATCGGATCACAAACCCAAACTCTGGCTCAGATACGTAGACGACACCTTCATAATCTGGCCACATGGGAAAGAAAAACTGGACAACTTCCTCACACACCTCAACAGCCTACACCCCAAAATACAGTTCACCATGGAAACAGAAGCTAACAACCAACTTCCCTTCCTGGATGTCTTAGTCTACAAGAAATCCAATGGCTCCCTAGGACACACCATCTACCAGAAGAAAACACACACAAACCGCTATCTGCACGCTCTCTCACACCACCACCCAGCACAGATCAACTCTGTAGCCAAGACACTCATCTCCAGAACAAAACGCTTAGCTGACGAACAACACCTAAAACCCGAACTACACACTCTCACCAATGTACTAACATCCAATGGATTCCATAGAAATAAGATTACAAACCTAATCCAAAAAGAAACCCCCACTAAAATCCAAGACAAAGAACAAGAAAACGGCAAAGCCCTCCTCCCATACATAAAAGGCACCACAGACAGAATCAGTAAGATCCTCCATAAACACAACATCAAAACAGCATTCTGCACAACAGAAAAATATCCACCATCCTTAGAAACCCCAAAGATAAAATTGAATTAGAAAATCAAGGAGTATACGAAATCCCATGCACCACTTGTCCCACCACATACATCGGACAAACCAACAGAAGAATAAGTGCACGCATTGAAGAACATAAGAACTCAGTCAAAAAAGAGGAACCAACATCTTCCCTGGTCCAACACCTTAAAGCCACAGGACATGAAATTGACTTTAAAAATACCAGAACCATTGCCAAAAGTGAACATTTTAATAACAGAATAATCAGAGAAGCCATCGAGATAGAAAAACGCCCACACAGCATGAACAAGCGAGATGATACCTCCCGCCTACCAGCCATTTGGAAACCTGCCCTTATTGACAAACGACTCCCTAACCCCAAAATCTTAAACCCCTCTGCAACTCAGACTAACCTGAGCACAACCAAACAGAACACTCCTCCAGCCAATCAGAGCACAGCCAAGCCCCTAACCATTCAGAACACACCTCCACCCAATCAGAACACAGTCAAGCTCCCACCCAATCAGTTCATACCCCCACTGGCAGTTAAAAGGAAGAAACAGCTAAGACCACACATTGCTGCTCAAAGCAAGAAGCTAAAAACGCCAGCCTGAAGATGACGAATGTGACTTCGTCGAAACGTTGCCAAGACACTTCCAATTTTATGCGGGAGAAAACCCGAACAACAAAAGACATATATATATATATATATATATATATATATATATATATATATATATATATAAAATTTGGATTGCTAACAAAGAATTAAGGGAGAATGGGATAGCTATTTCGAGTTTCCTAACTCTCTTCAGCCACACTTACCCTTGAGTATTTCTTGATGCACCCTGTCGGCCCAAATATGGGAGAAAGAAATCTTCTTTCTTTTTCTTTTTTTTCTTTTTTTTTCTTTTTTTTCTTTTGCCTGTATCAGCTCAATCTAGAGCCATCCACAGGCAGCAGTCGCAACTGTGACATCATTTGTATTATAAAATTTGGATTGCTAACAAAGAATTAAGGGAGAATGGGATAGCTATTTCAAGTTTCTTAACTCTCTTCAGCCACACTTACCCTTCTGAGATTCGAGCCTAGGCTGTGTGCATGTTAGGCAGCTGTATTAACCTCTAGGCCACAGGCTCCTTCTCACTTTGTGTGAGGGAGGGAAGAGACAGGGGGAGGAGATTTACCTTGAGTGTTTCTTGGTGCACCCTGTCGGCCCTAATATGAGAGAAAGAAATCTTCTTTCTTTTTCTTTTTTTTTCTTTTGCCTGTTTATATTTATATTTATAAATAGAGGGAATTAGATTGCATACCACTGAATTTATATTACGGTAGTAGCAAATTCTACTGAGTTGTGTTGAGTCACAAATATAAAATGTAGGTCTAGGGCTTTAGCTTAACTGATTTTGATTTGAATTTAATTGAGTCAGAAGTTTGGTTTTTCCATGAATTAGTGTATCTGTACCAATGCAAAGTATTTTACATCTTCAAATGATAATCTGATGTTATCTACATGTGTCTTTAATATATATTGAATTTGTATATGGATAAATATATAAAATAATAAAAAGGCCAATAATAAACAATAATTGTTTAGAATTCAAAGCAAAGCAAAGCAGTTTATCATATTTAAAACTTTTTAATAGAAGAAACAGATCATTAAAAAGTTTTGTTATAATTTGGTGAATAATAAAAACTACCTCCTCACCTTTTAATAATTCCTGAATATCAAGCTCACTTTCTGGAAAGCTGATGTTTTCTCCCTGCGCTCCTCCTTCTTTCCATCTTAAAATAACAGCTGGGGAAGATAGATATATATAGGTATGTCTCTTATATATCTCTGTATAATCTTTATTTACTGCTTGCGCAACAATTTTGTTATGTACGGCAAGTTTCTCTGCTTCTTAATTTACAAGCAACTCTTCTCAAACCATTTAATGCAAGAGATCCATTTCCATCTGCTGCTTGTGCTTTCTTAATATATTTCTCACATTTTTTTTTCAAGTTTCCATTACAGTTTTAATAGTTTTAAAGAATTTTGTTTCCTTTTTCAATTAGCTTTTGCTTTGGTTCTCCTTTACGCTGATAATACTGACTTCCCTTCATCCAGGAATCGAAGTGCATTAAATTTTAAGTATTGTGCCTTTTATGTTTTCCTGGCCATGCTGTAGACAAGCTTCACTGAAATTTCAGAATGGAGTGAAAGTTTGGGAAATGTTCCAAACTTTTTTCTCTCACGTTCTTCATGGTTAGCGAACAAGTCAATTTAAAATATATCATGGAAAGACGCAATCTAACTGCAACTAATTCCTCACTTTCATGAATGAAACATTATTCCCATTCATTCATTCATAGTGTCACCAATGATTAGCCTGGAACTGTTTCCAATCTTCTTTCAAGACATGTATTTAAGCATTTACAAATAACAGTACAAGGACTGAATTACAAAACAGGATGAGTTCACTTCTTTACAGAAGCAGTTTACTGCCTGCTTAGCAGGGAACTAAAATATTTTCACTTCATCTGAACGAGTTTACTGCTTTTCCTGTAAAGCTGAAGTCGTTTTGGGCAGCACAGATGAGGCTTCCTTCAGGGAAGCCAGCTAATTACTAATATTTCTTTCCTTTTTTTGGCTTTCTTCTTTGACAATTTTAATACTAGTTCATAAAAAGTTAGAGAGCGATACTTGTCCGAAGATCAAGCTTAACTTCAAAATAAAATTCACGCAAGTTCTTCTTTATAAAAAATGGTCAAAAGATTAGAACTTCAGTCTTCAGTGACAAAATAAAGTAAGCAGTCTGCTTTCTTGTAGTGAAATTGTATTTTTCTCTCCAAACTTTGTTATATACACGGTTACATTGTTCTAAAAGATAAACATTTCTAGTCTTCTCTCTGGGCTGAAAAAAGAAAACATAATACAGAAGAAGAAGCTAAAGTTAGGAGCTTTATTTTTATTTTATTAATCAAATTTCTTTACCACCCATCCTGCTTGCATGCCTCTGGGTAGTTGAAATAAAGGCTCTCTTGTACAGACACAGATACGTAAATATGACTTTCTTTTCTAATATTCTCTTACCTTTTTAGGTATTACTATTAAAACATAGGAGAGGGAAGGACAGATAGAACTCTTGATTCTCCTCACTCACTCTCTTGTCTTTTATGATATACTAGGCCAGGGTAGGCAACCTTGGCTGTTTTATGACTCGTGGACTTCAACTCCCAGAATTCCTGAGCCGGCTGGCTCAGGAATTCTGGGAGTTGAAGTCCACGAGTCATAAAACAGCCAAGGTTGCCTACCCCTGTGCTAGGCCCTCCATTGGTGCTAATGGATGATCTTTCTAAATAACTCCTAAGTCTGATCTAGAAGGACATGTTTTCAGCCATGGAAGCGTACAGGTTTATGTATGCTCCATGCCAGTTTGGTGTAATGGTTAAGGCTAGAAACCAGGAGGCTGTGAGTTCTAGTAGGAAGCTAACTAGTTATTTCCTCTCAGCACTAGGAAGGAGACAAAGCCAAATTGCTTCCAAAATCTTGCCAAGAAAACTGAAGGAAGCTGTCCAGGCAGTTCTCAGAAGTCAAGACTGATTTGAAGGCACACATATACTCACAAAAGACTATTGTTGATAAGAATTATATCAGACATATTATGCATGCTTACTCAAAAGATCTCATTTTGATAAACCGAACTTATTCCCAAGTCATTATGCACAAGACTGTAGCATTTCCCATTTTTTTGGTAAGGAAACTTGATTTCAACCCTTAATGAATTCAGTTAATATCTATTTGCCTTTTCATAAAACAACTCAGCATCAACTTACTTTGTGATACGTTAGGGAAAACTTTAGTGAATGCCCCCCCCCAAAAAATCAAGGGGGTGGCTTATGTTCCTTTTAATGTGCATGTTCTCCTTTCAAAAAAAAAAAAATCTTTAATACCTGTTGAGCCGCACAAGGCCCATATCTTGATAAAAAATCATTCTTAAATTACTAATAATGAAAGTTTAAATAAGTTCAGACTACATCCAGAGAAGTAATGGGGGGAAAATGAGAGAAGAGGCTATCTAAATCCTTTCTGTGTAATGCTTTCCTTCTAAAAAATTATTTCACTATAATATCAAATCCCCCCTAAAACAAGAAGAAAATATCAGTTGTAATTATAAGTTACTAGTGATTAGCAGGTTTATATTATAATCTGTAAGCAATATATGTAGAGTCAATTTAATTTGATTTAGTGGTTAAGGCACCAGTCTAGAAACCAGGATACTATCAGTTCTAGTCCTATGTTAGGCAAAATACAGCCATGAGTGTCTTTGGGCTAGTCCCTCTCTCAGGTGAAGGATGTGGCAAGCTGTTTGTGAAAACTACAGGAGACGGATGTTGGGAATAAAAAGAAAATGACTTGAAAGCATGACTTTTAAGTATCTTTGTGACATGCTATTATACTTTATAGTTTCTATACTTTAACTAAGAAATATACATTTTAACTTATTGCTATTACATGTATCTGCAATTTACATTACTGTGCACAAATACCTGGTTTGGGAAAAGCTGCAGAACCCCCCCCCCAATATGTTAGAAATTAGAAGGAAAATTGATGGTGGCCACAACAGTGCAGTTAAAACATTGCCTGTTTTTTATATGCATTGCCTGGGCATCTGTCATCTTGTCTTTTTTAAAAAAATCTGCTTTTCAGTTAAGCCTTTACAGTATTGTACCCCAAGCCACCTGGATCACAAGACATCAGTAGGCTCAATGAAAGGAGTGCAGAAAGAATAAGCAAGAAAAATGCTTACCTCTTGTAGCTGGATGGACACATTATGACCAAAGAATGAAAGCTAGAGAAAAGAATAAAAACAAAAATAAAAACTAAAAAAAGAGAGGAAAGGAAAATGGAAAGAAAAAAAGAGAGAAAGATTTTAAAGCACACCTAGTAAGAAACCAGAATGAGACTCTAGAGTAAGAGGCCATAGTCTGTTGTAAAGTTGTGAAATAGGCTGGGATAGGACATTTTCCAAATTAATCTGCCCTCTGACAGATGTCATGTCTGTTGACATGAACACAACATATAAGAAAGACAGAGAATGCAGGATGGCTCAGATTCTCATTTACTTTTTGCTCTGTCCCTATCCATTTCCAGCACACAATCCCACTGGGCCCATTGATAGGATAGAAATTTAACAGAATAACAGAATTGGAAGGGAATGTGGAGGTCTTCTAGTCCAACCCCCTGCTCAAGCAAGAAACCCTATACATATAAATTTGGCAAGGAATTCTGGGAGTTTGAGGGTCCTCTAACTTCTTGCAAAAATAATGGTCTAGTAGTGCATCACACCGTTTTATCTACATAAACAGAACATGAAATGCTACCATTTCATTCACTTCCATGAACCAATCACCAGTAAGAAAAATCATTATATTGTGATTACTGCGATCAGATATTTGCAGTATACTTCGTCTTAAATGTAGTTATTCATTTTTATGGGACTTATTTTTAGTGAAGAAAGGACACCATTTCAGGCTTCTTCTATGCAATTGTATCTTTTCCAAATAAAATTTACTATCCAATGAACCTATTTAAAAGTACTAAATGTAACCTTTTTTCTTTTTGAAATCTTTTCTATGTGATGCTTCATAGTCTATTACATTTACTTATATAATTATTAATTTTATGGCTCTAGGAAGCTGGCAACACTAACTGTAATGCTAAAAACATACAAGAATTCTAGTTTTCTCATTGTTTTTAGGAACATAAAACTTTGCTGCAGAAAGCTAGTTTAGAAAAAATCTGTAAATATCTTGCAGACCAAATGCAAAATCCCAAAGTAAATAATATTCTTTTTTCTTCGTGTTACAGAAACAACTTTTGCATTTTAACATTAAATGCATTTTTAAAATGTTGTGTCCAATATCTATAAATGACTGCATTATTGGCACTGGGCCATGAAAAGCATAGATGAAATGGTGTTGTTTTTATAGTTAGGAAGAACATAGAAAGAGCAGTATTTAGTTACAATGAAATAAGTAATAATATAAATTAGACTTCATGGATAACTCTTTAACATGATGAGCATTCAAATTTATGCTCCAACTGTTGACGCAGAAGAACATCATAAATCCAATTTTAAATTGACAGAGTATACAGTATAAGCAAGATGTGCTGCTTGTGATTGGAGGCTGTTGGAAACAGTTGGAAACAAAAAAGAAGAAAATGCAGTTGGATTATAAGGCTTAGGAAATTTAAATGAAGCATGAAAGTGACTTTTGTAACTCCAATGATTTCTTCATAGCTAATGCTGTCTTCAAATAGCCATCTCTCCCTAATGGGGTATATAGAAATCAAATTAACTATATTATTGTTAAAAAAATGTGGAGGAGCTCAGTTAAATCATCAAAGACATGGCCAAGTGCTGACTGTAGAGCAGATCATGAATTGTTCATGTGAATGGTCAAAGTTAAGGTAAGAAAGAAGAAAGCCACTCGGTTTCCATGATATAATCTTGAATATACACCCACAATTTTCAAGGAGAACCAAAGAAATCACTTTAAAGTGAACTTCATTGATAGAGAACCAGCTGGATTATGGAATGAACTTAGAGAATGAATGTGAAAAGAGGCTGCTAAAAACAGCCTGTTTTCTCTGAAAACAAAAAAAAGCAAATTGCATGTCAGACAAAACTGTGAAAATTGCCAAGAAGAGAAGCCAAAGACCAAAAAAAAAGAGACAGTCTCAGAAAGGAATTTAACAAAAAGTTTCAGAGAAGAGCTGTTAGAACAAACAAGAAGCAGTATTGCAAAAACGTACCTAAAAATACTGAACATGGAAAAGCAAGAAAAAATCTTCCAAAAGATCTCTAAGCTCAGAAGGAGGTTCCAACCTCAAATTGGTATAGAAAAGGACACCAATGGACAGATAGTAACTGATTCAAAGGAGATCAAAGGACGATGGAAGGGGTAGATACCAAGACATCTTAGAAGATATTCCTGGCTTACAAGAGCTTCCTGTACTAGAAGATGACATCGAATCTGCACTCTAGTCATTACCAAATTGGAAGGCTACAGAAACTGATGGAATACTCATTGAAATACGGCAAGCAATAGAAGAAGAGCAAATCAAATGTATATCCATGCTGTGCTTGCAAATCTAGAGAACAACACAGTGGCCAATTGATTAGAAAAATTTAATCTACAGTGTAATAACAAGGAAACTTGACAGAATGTCAAGGCAGGCTATTGTACAATATTTTTAATTTCACATGTTATCAAAATAATGCTTAAGATCATCCAATGCAGATTAGGGCCCTACATGAAAAAAGAGATGTCAGATGTTCATGTTTACTATAGAAACTTCTGAAAAAATACAAGACATTATTCTGGATGCATGCTGGCAAAATTGAGAAAGGCAAAGAATACCAAAAGGAAGTCAGTACTTCATTGATTATAGAAAAGCCTTTGATTGTATCAATCATGTCAAGTTGTGGAAAGTGCCCAGAAAATGAGAATCCCAGATCATCTCATTGTCTTCATGAGAAACCTATAGAGGTCAGGAAGTCACAATAAGGATGAACTTGGAGCAATGGGCTGGTTGTAGATTGGCAAAGGAGTGCAATAAGGATGCATACTCTCCCCTTATTTATTTAACTATATGCTGAAATAAGGGATTGGAAGGAGATTGTGAAGAAGATGAGCAAAACTGGAGGAAGAAATATCAATAACCTGTGCTATGCTGATGATGCTATTCTGATAGCTGAAAATGCAAAGGATCTGCAAGCCCTACTATTAAAATTCAAAGAACACGGTGAAAAAAATGGGACTAAAATTAAAGAAAACCAAACTAATGACAACAGGTAGAACAACCAGCCTTAGAACTGGCAATAAAAATATTAAAGTGGTGGATAGCTTTTCCCTTTTTGGATCAGCCATCCACAGTCAAGGGGAAAGTAGTCAAGAAATACAGCACTGACTAGCACTTGGTAGACTAGCCATGAAAACCTTGGAAAAGATATTCAAATCTGCAATGTGTCTATATTTACAAAGATCAGAATTGTGCAAGCCACTGAATTCCCCATGATGCTCTATGGAAATGAAAGTTGATCTTAAAGAAGTAAGACTGAGAAAGTATTCAGACCTTTAAACTCAGGAGAAGATCACCAAGAAATAGGTTTGAGAAAGTTTTGATACCTATAAACTCAGGAGAAGACCACCAGAGGTACTATGGATCATCAAACTTCTCGCTCTAGGCACAAATGACCAAGCTTAAATTATTCTATTTCAGACACAGTATGCAAAGACCCAGCTCTTTGTAAAAGGGTCTAATGGTAGGAAAAGTGGAAGGAAAGAGAAGAAGAGGATGACCAACAGCAAGGTGGCTGGATTCAATAACTGTGGCTTGGAGAATTGAAAGAACAAGTTAGGGACAGATAGTCATGGAGAAGATTCTGATTGCTAGAAGACAAAAGTTGAAAAGGGCACTTGTTGGCACATAATCAATTATTGTCAAAAGAATCTTCTGGACTTTGTTTCAGAACATTTGTATAGTCTATTGCATTGTACTGTATGATCTTGCTTTAAAGAATTGCTGGCAGGTGCTATGTTCAAAATATATGTAATCTAAAAAAAATGTAGTAATGTTGGACATCCAAGGCAAATGTTGTCTAGTCAAGTTCATAGGAAGAATAACCTGCATGTAAGAAAATTTCTCAAACCCAGCATCTTGTTATTTACAGGTAGTCATCAACAAAATTTCTGTTGCTAAGTGAGACAGTTGTTAAGTGAAACTTGTCCCATTTTATGACCTTTCTTGCCACAGTTGTTAAGTGAATCACCACAGTTGTTAAGTTAGTAGTAGCACAGTTGTCAAGTGAATCTGGCTTCCCCATTGACTTCGCTTGTCAGAAGGTCACAAAAGGTCAATTGTCAAGCATTCGAATTTGATCATGTGACCAGGGGGGGATCTGCAACAGTAATAAGTGTGAAAAAAGGTCATAAGTCATCTTTTTCAGTACTGTTGTAACTTTGAACTGCCACTAAATGAACTGTTGTAAATCAAGGACAACCTGTACAACTTTTTTTGAATATAGCTTCATGTCATTCTTCAAGCTTTTCAGTGTTTTAACCATACCTTTTCTTCCAATTCCTTTATTTGTCTTTTTTGAGCTTCAATTCTTTCTTCTAGCTCCTTAATTCTCTGTGAAAATTAGAATTATGTAAGATTACTACATTTTTAGGCTTTCATTTAAATCTACTTTTGACTCTTTGGTACGCTATGCTTTTGTGAAGAGAAGGGAACATATTATGAGCCACAATATGCTCAAAGCTAATACAGTAACTCATGTAGCAACTTTCCTTTGCACAGATACAATTGTTTACTTCATAAAATGAGCTCCCTGCTTCAAGACTAGCCTCATGGTTTATAGCAGCCTGTTTGCAAATGTTTTCCCAGTGCGATCATTACAGGGTCTGCAACTATTAAAGCTGTGAAAGTGACTGTGTATAATGGAGTGATGTGGCTGAGGACATTTCTAGGGCTGCTTGTTGCTGCAGTAGCTCCTTCCTTAAATGAGCCTTTTAAATCAAATGTAAATCAATTTTAATATCCGTGTTTTTACATTTTTAATTGCTGTTCTGTTTATCAGAGTTGCCATATTAGGGAAATGGGCAACGTATACATTTAATAAGTAAATAAATTTAAGGTAAAATTATTAATGCGGGTTCCAATCTACCCAGAAGTCACCAGGACCAGATGTTTAGACTTCTGAGCTTTCAGACTCATGCTGGAGCACATCCTCAAGGAACTTCTCTCTACCAGACTGTGTGCTTTGGGCTATTCTGTGTGTGGTATTTATATGGTGCCTGTTGTGTGAGGCTTTTTAATTGTTGATTGGGGTGTTGATGGCTGGCTATTAAGTCTTTGGTTGTTGTTTCCTTGTGCTGCCAAGCCCTCACCTCCTAAGTATTTGATAAGCTGGTGGTAAATCAGCACTCCTGTTGACTCATGAGGGGCTTCAATCACTTCCCTGGCTGTTTTTGTGCCTGCTCGTCCAACAATCTTAGTAGCTGCAAAATTGAATGTATGTCCTTGTTCATTGCAATGTGAGGCTACCAATGAGTTTGGGTCTCCTCAACTGACCAGTCACTTGTGTTCTTGCATTCTGGTGGTTAAGCTTCCTCCTCTGAAAGCTTGGAAGACTAAACCTCTGGTCCTGGTGATCAACCCAAATTGGATCCTGCAATATTATCCTGGGACATGTATATTCGCCTTCATTTGTGAAAATTATTAATGGCATAAGCAAAACAAAAGTGACAGTCATTGTTGTTGCAGGAGGCATTCCTAGTGGCACAGTATCTTATTTTGTCATACCTGTTGTGCATGCTGAATATGCTCCATCCTTTCTCGGAGAATCTGGGTGTCCCTTTCCCGGAGTTCACTCATAACCTGCCGTTTCCATTGTTCCACAGCATTTTTCAACTTCTCCCTCTCTTCTTCGGAAAGTATTTCAGACATTTTGGCTCCTGCTTCCTGCTGTAGCGCATCATAGAGCATGGCTTCCAATTCCAAAATGTGCTAAATGAATGAAAAATCAAGCTACTTTATTCCCATTAAGTTTGGGTGATGATGGGGGTTTAATATATTTTGTGACCATTTGTTCCATTGCTCCTTGTCTTTCATTGAAAACACGGCAATGGACCTCTTCTCTTGCTTCCTTCTTTAATGTTGTACTAAAGTTATTCTTACAGAGCTCATCTATTTAAAGCTCAATCACAATCAACAGATCTTTTTTAGATGACGCAGTTGTCACTCTGTATTTCAAGATCTTAGACAAGGAATCACTTTCAAGTCATTACTCAAATCATCCTCCATTTTCCAATCTTAAATGTAGAGTAGCATAGAGAGATGTGAAAATATTGCTTATTGATAGCACCACTAGATAGTACTCACAAGCTCACTCTCAAGTATACATATGGTTATGTAGTCTAAAGATTTACAGGACTTCTAAATCTCATAATATTTCTATTCTCTCTCACATGAACTCATTAGCTTTGGCACAATTAATATTTTAATGGTTCAATGACCACAACACTATGTATAATAATATGATTGTGTCTGCTGCTCAAAAGGGTTGTGGAAGAATTCTGGTGTGGAGGTAGATCTCTTATGGCCAGGCAGAACATGGATTACACCAGAGCAGCTGCCAACTGAACTTAATTTTTACCATGCTGTGTAACCATCTCTGCCCAATACCCTTCGCAAAATGACAAAATATTATTGAACAAGCATTACAGTATATCTGCTGTATTTAAAAATGCAGCTAATTCCATGCTGGCTCAGGAATTCTGGGAGTTGAAGTCCACGAGTCATAAAAGAGCCAAGGTTGCCTACCCCTGAACTAGCCCATCATTTCCTTTTTAACCATTTCTCTTTTTAAATCATTCTGGTTTTTTTCTGCTAAGGCAATAATTCTGCATGCATGTTCAATATGAATAGAACGTACAAAGAATCTCTATCCTAGTCAGAATCAATAATAGGAATCTTCACATTGTTGTGAACAAATACTACTAATAAAATAATGGTCCTTGGGATACACTTGATAGAAGGACAGAAATACCGAATCCAGTCTAAACTGTATTACCAACCATAAAAATTAAAAGGTTGTGGAATGAATATCTTGTCTCCAAGTCCAGAAATAGCACAGAAAACTTTTATTGATGAGCTAAGCAAAAACTGAGATATTTCCATATCTCTGCAATGGGAACGCTAATCACAGCACGGGATTGCCTATGATAATACAACATACCATTCCATGTGAATTATTTAAAGTCTCTAGGGGACTTTACGCTTCATACTCCATTTTGTAATCTGTAATATATGACTAGGTGTTGAGTGCAGCATAACAACAAATTCTCAATGGATTAAAAATTAAATTTGAGAGAGTGAATGTGCAAAAATTCTCAAAGTGTTACATTAGCACAAAGTGTTAATCAGCTATGGCTACATACAGTCAGTCATTAAATTATGGCTTTTTCCAGCTCATAGTGATAGAAATCTGAGTTGCCAATATTTTGACCAAACGAGTCCCAGTTATCTTAATCTGATTCATCTGAACCATTCTCCCTACCCCATTATATAATTTTATATAAAGTAAATATACTTTACTATACTTTTCTACCAGTGTATAGGGATACTTTGGTAAGAGTCCATGGGATAGATGATCTGTAGTCCTGATCCAACCCTGTCTTTCAGAATCTACTCACGGAGGAAAAAAATATCAACAGATACTTCGGAAATTGCATCTGGAAATTTTGCCTTGAGGTTGTAAACGGAGAGAGCTCCTTTTTACCTACTTTGATCCTAACTGATTTTCGTATAATCAAATTACAATAAAAAAAATCAAAACCAGTTCCTAGGAATTAAATCTGTGTGTGCCAATCCCAAATGTAATGCAGGTTCACTTTAATTAATGAATCTTTTGCACTACTTCTCTGCGATAGAAAGTCTTTCAAGCTATGTGACCCAAAGATTTCAGGAGAGGTTCTCATTTGAATTTAAGGCACTGTTTCTCAACCTTGGCAACTTTAAGGTATGGGGATTACACCTCCCAGAATCCCCCAACTCGGGGAAAATGAACCAAAGTAAATTTTGTCCATAGACTTTCATACCTACCTTATGTGCTTGATCTAAAGACTGCTTCCTGTAATCCAACTCATCATCCAGATACCCCTTTTGTTTACTAAATAGGTCCTAAAAACAAGGAGATTTGGGTTATACTGATTTTCTCAGGAAATACAATATGCAGTCACTGATTTTTAAGTGTTTGATGAATCTTTGCACTACCTTTTCATTTTCTAGGTCTATCATCTTTTGTTGGAGTGCTGATTCTGTAACGTCTATCTGTTGTAGCCACTGCAGAGAAATGAAGAAAGATCAGATTTGATAGGCATATGTAGGGTTTGTTGACCTTGGCAACTTTAAGCAGTATGGACTTCAATAAAGGAGAATATTTGTAGCTCAGGGTTGAAATGAGGGGCCCTTGGTGCTCCCTGAGCTTTGCTATTTTCTTGTAGACATTTCATTACCCAAACTAGGTAACCTAAATCAGTGCTAGTAAGGTGTGAAGTAATGAAACGTCTGCAAGAACACACCCAAGCTCAAAGAAGTCATGTACGAACTTCAGCTCCCAGAATTCCTCTGCTAGTATGCTGGCTGGGAAATTCTGGGAGCTGAAATCCACACAGCTTAAGGTTTCCAAGTCTGACAAACATTGAGCATATCAGACACTGCATAACTCTGACTGTTGGTTTTATAACAAAATATCTCATTATGCTCAAGATCTTTAAATTTGGCAATTCAGTTATCACAATCTTATTTAAGCATTGTGATTTAGCACAGATAATCTGATCTTTGGACTCAATCTCTCACATAAAGGAGCCGAACACAATGCCTGCATAGTTATATTGTTAGATACTAACTGTAAGTCTAAGTTATAGTATGATATTTCTGTACCCAAATCTAAGGCACTTCCATTTTACAAACATGAAAAAAAAATATTTAGGTGAATGTAACTGAGCCAAACCAGGCACTGATCAGCAAGCAAATATTCTTAAAAACGTTTTGTAAGAGAGAATAGAAAATTAGGGATAGAGGGAACAGCTTAAATTATTTTAAAGATACTAGCTATGAACATACCACTTTGCTTCATTTTGTTGCTTATCCCACTCATATCAATTTAATAGCCATAGATATTTAAAAGGAATTTGGTTGGAAATGGTATTTACAGCTTTAGTTACTCTAAATTTTGGTTACTTCATCCCAGCATCCCAGCAACTATACATACAGACAAAATTGTTTCAGTATGATGCAGAATATGACCTGACAGCCACCCTACCAGTTATACTGGTGACATGGAGCTCTGAATGTCATTTTCAGGCAATGATAAAAGTAATTTGTACTCTGTTTCCCTGAAAGTAAGACCTACCCCCCAAACAAGCCCTAACTTGATGTTTTGGGGTGGCCCTAATATAAGACCTACTCCCAAAATAAGCCCTATTTTGGGGGCGAGGCACACACCTAAAAATCAAGCTGGGGTGAGGGTGTGGAGCTGCCCCACATCCCCTGCACCCACTTCCTTGCAGCCAGGCCTCTCCTAGCCAGCCCACTTCTTCTGCCGCGTCTTCTGCAGCCAGGCCTGCATTTCTCAGTCACAGGCCTTTCCAGATGGCCACTGCAGCCGAGAACTGAGATATGAATTGAATCCATAGCTTGGTACTTGGCTGCATAGGCCTTCCAAAAAAGCGTGACTCCTAAATGCAGGTCGGAATGCAGCTGCAGAATGAAGCTGCTCCTTCGGCCGCAGGAGAAGTGGACGGCTGGATGGTATTGTCAGTGCCAAAGGTGAGTATAAAAGACACTCCCCACAAATAAGACCTGGTGCCTCTTTTGGAGGAAAAAAAAAAAAAAGACCAGTCTTATTTTCAGGGAAACACAGTATGATCAAATCTTAGATACGTTTTTGAAGGCAAGGTTAAAGAGGATGTCAAACCTGTTATATTTCCTCTACTTTTATAAATCATGACACAGTAGTGTTGCATCAGAGAATAAGTTATGCTAATGTAACTGGACACTGAATCCCTCTCGGCAAAAGAAACGACATCCCCATTACCTTTTCTGCCAGTGTCAAAACTGTTCTTGCTTGTATGACTACAACTTGCTCCTCATTCGTTAAGTTCTAAATTAAGAGCAGAATAAAAGTATTATCACAGCCTACGTCTCTGCATTGTTTTTCCCTTCCCGAGGCTGCTCTTGTCCTGAATATTTAAACATTTCTTAAAACTATAAATCAAAAATAGTACTTTCTCAGGATAGTACAGATTGTAATTTCAAGATAACATTCCACGATCAGGGGGTGTTGAAATGGGTTGATCTCTGCAAGCCACTTCAGATAAATACACAGACGTTGTCTTACTCCATCTCTGAAGTATCAATTATGAATTCTCAATAAATATGAGAAGAAACATGATGATGTAAATAAATAACATTATTTATTTAGATCTATTCGCTTCCAGATGTTAGAACTTGGAAATCTGGAACAGCAACAGTAAATCACATCTTTGATTTTATGAAACAATACAGGGAACAAATCCTGAAGTCATTTGAAGGTATCCTGAAAAAACAGTCTTTTTATTTGTTTATAAGAAGCTCATTTGCACTTTATTCCCCCCCTCCCTGACTTCACAAAAAAGATCTGGAGTTCTCCAATCCTCTCCTCTGAAAATAATTGCCTATTGGTTGCATTGAACATCTGCCCATAAATGCCTCAGTATCTGCAAATTAATCACTAGAAAGAAATGAGAAGCCTAATTTATGACCCACTCCACTTCCCTCTCATCAGTGTAAATCTGCTAACTGCTGATGCCTAGATCAATCTCGGCAAAATGGAAAATCTGCCCTTTGGAATAGTCTCTCTCATTCTCAACATTCATTTGGCCACAGCCCTGCTGGTATTTAGGAAAACATAAAAACATGACTATTCCCGCCAGGGTTGGGGCTGGGATGAATAAATTCACGAGAGAGGGTGTGAATGTGGGCCAGTTTGCCTGTTTCTGATTTTTATGGCTGATTGTTGTTTTTTAAATCTTGATAGTTTTCTGTAAGCTGCCAGAGCCACCTTGTTCAAGTTGGACATACCTATAAATTCTTTAAATAATGTTTTTAAAACATCTGGAAAGGGAAGAATATATGATTAAGGCTCAGACAAACATAACTTCTCTTAAATGAAAGAAAAGTCTACCCTGCTTTTCTTTGCTTCCAATTAGATGTTGCCGTGACATATTGGGAAAATTAAATGGTGCCATAAGCAGTACATTTAATAAACAAACAAATAAATAACACAAATAAATAAATAAATATGTTGAGGAGGCTCTAGAAAAGGATTTGGGGTCCAGATGAAGCCAACAGGCATTGGATTGTACAGACCATCTCAACATAAACAAAAATTAATTCATTTCAGTCATGCTTCTGTCTCAAACTGTGGTATGTTCTAAAACATAATTCTTTATACAATTAAAAGATTTTTAAAAGTAGCAAAGAATAGTAGAACACTAGCAAAACACTAGTAAAAAAATATCCAATCCCCAAATTACAATATTAAGTTAGCTTGTCAACTCTACAAGGAACCTGGCTACAGCCACTTTCTTTGTTCCAAGTTGCCACAGGATTGGGAGGGGGATGGAGGATTTCTACTAGTCTAAACATTTTACTGTCCTGTGGGAACCAAGGTCATTTCTGTCAGTTAGATAGGGGCAGGAGCATTTAGTTAGAAAGTCCATCAAACTCTTCTACTGGGGAATTGCATAGCGCTGGGGAGGGGAGGGGAAATTCAACTTTGTAATATTGTTGCTTTCTGAAGGGAACTTTAGTCTTGGTTTCACTTTTGATTGTGCCAATACTATGTAACCAATAAACATGTTCTTTGAGGAAATCTCAAGCCTTAGAGTTCTGATTTATTTGGTCTTGTCTATCAGAACCTTGACATAGCTTGTCAAGGTGTAAGTAACTTTATTGTGCCTGAAAATTACTTTCCATGTTGTACCTTACCTGACAGATGCAACATGGAAAGGTACACCCAGTGGCATCATGGTCATAATCATCATTGTGACATACACACACTCCCAAATTTAACTCTCTCCAGGGTTTCTGATAGGATACTGGGAGAGGCGATAGTGGCCTATAGATTATTTGTTACCAACTTCTGTCTTATTCCATAAGATAATAGATTGGAGGCAGTATAATGGTTGTTGGCAGGGCGTTTTTTTTGTCATAGAACGCCCAGAACGGAGTTCCGGCATCTTTTTTGGATGGAACCTTGTAGGGTAGGCAAGGCGGGTTGTATGATGTGTGTGAGTTCTGGCACCTTTTTTTTTTTTTTTTTACAAAAAAAGCACTGGTTGTTGGTATAATGATATCACACAAGTGGGTGATATAAGGGTTAATGCATCTGTTTTCAGCCCTTAGCTACTTCATCCAGACAAAAATATTTAATCCTCCCCTAAACCCTAATCTAAACACTGTTGTTCTTTCCATTTCAGGGGGTCTCTAGGGGATGGGGAGGACTGGGAGATTGCATGTGACCTGTGTCTACCTAACCCTGACTTATATAATTGACATTCTTTATAAACTAGGTATGATGAAGTATCGATCTGAAACAAAGACTTCTCCATGTCAAAATGTTACTTAATTATAACAAATAAAATCAATCACATTTAATGCAGCTTGAGCAAAAGAACAAAACACATTCACTGAAACATGCACAATTAATTAAAGGAACATACACTTACGGCGTTATCCCCTAAAATATCCAGCTTTTTCATCAACTCTGCTACTAGTATATCCTAGCGGGAAAGAAATGGTCATGTGAAAAGAACACAATATTAGACCAAACGAGAAACAAGAATTAAAAACTGTAACAAGAGCAACTGGGAATTACTTACTGTTACGCCTTCTGCCTCGCAATAGACTTGGAGGGGACTTTTCCCTTCCGTAAAAGGAATGTGATGAAAATTAATTGCTGGTGATCTTCTCTCTCTCTCCTACAATCAAATTATTTGTGCAAAAAAAAAAATCATCAGCTTAGCCGACAATACAATTTCATTAGTTAATTTTCCAATGTAAGCTACAAAAAATATCAACTATTTAAGTTGATAAATTAGAAACTTTGTTTAAGGATTGTGTTTTGGCCACTTTGAGTGGCAGAAAATTATTAGCTGCACTGCTGCTCCTGAAGAAATGCGAAAAGAAGAAGAAGAAGAAGAAGAAGAAGAAGAAGAAGAAGAAGAAGAAGAAGAAGAAGAAGAAGAAGAAGAAGAAGAAGAAGAAGAAGAAGAAGAAGAAGAAGAAGAAGAAGAAGAAGAGAGAAAGAGAGTTTCTGAGGAGATTTTTCCCTCATGATTCTCGGAGGGTTTTTGCACCTTAGGTGAAGATGGCGCTTTGTCTTCAGCTCTAGATGGCTTTGCTGCATCCCTTCTTAGTGGCTGGTTTCTTGGCGCTGCTTTTCTTTCCTTTTCCTCATCACAAAAAGCAAACTTGATGAAGAGTGAATGAAGAAGACGGCAGGCCAGGGCAAGCTGCTATTTTTAGCCCCTTCCCATTGGCCAGAGGGAAATTGTCAGAACATTAAAGTGCTATAATGAAGCATCACAAAAATGCTCCTGACAATAGGTGGCTGTCTGGAAGGGACTAAGACCAAAAGCTACAATGTCCCCCCCCCAAATAAGTAATATCATGTTTATGTTTCTAATATGCTGGGAATACAAAGTCTGAGAAGGTTAGGCTTTCCTCACTTTCACTGTAAAAGCTCATCATACTGGATTGTGCACCTTGGGCTGCAGCAGAACCTTAGGAAAGACATATGAAAACAAACCAGACAAAGTGATGAACTCCTCATGAACCACCAGATGGCATCAGTTTTGATTCTGGGGCAGCCGTCACTCTTACAAAGAGAAGGTAAGATTTACAGAAGTAGGTACCAGATAGAAATCTGCCATTTATTTAGCAGATGGGTACAAATTGCTCTCAGATAGTACCAAGTAGCCCTCAACCTACGACCACAATTGAGCCCAAAATTTCTGTTGCTAAGCAAAACATTTGTTAAGTGAGTTTCGTCCTGTCTTACAACCTTTCTCGGCACCGTTGTTAAGTGAATCACTGCAGTTGTTCAGTTAGTAACACAGTTGTTAAGGGAATCCGGTTTCCCCAGATCCTTTGCTTGTCAAAAGGTCGCAGAAGGGGATCACATGACCTTGGGGCACTGCAACGGTTATAAATATGAGTCGGTTGCCAAGTGTCTGAATTTTGATCACATGACCATGGGGATGCTGCAACAGTCAGAGGTGTGAAAAAAGGTCATAAGTCACTTTTTTCACTGCCGTTGTAACTTTGAACGGTCACTAAATGAATTGTTGTAAACTGAGGACTAGTGGAGACATTGTGAAATTCCATTGTGCATAAAGTGCAGGAAAGATGTCCAATTTTACTAATACAGAGATATGTCCTGGATCAGGAGTTATATTTGCTTTCATTTAAGCTGGGTCTCAATCTTAATGCACAGGGACTTCTGTGAGCCAATGTAAATTGCTATGCCAAGTAGAAGTTAATACCTATTGACTTTTTATCTATGATTTTTCCTCTTTTTTCTTTTACTACCTGTTCAGGAAAAATACTGGAAATATTCACAGAAGATGCAGCTTTAGTAAGCAATACATTTAAGAAAAAACTGCAGGAGTTATTGGGGTGGGTGCAAATATATGGCAGGCCAAGGTAGCCAAAAAGGCAAGGGATTGTGCACGACACTATTGTGGACCATACCCCAGCCCAGAACACAACAGTGTGGCAGAGAAGAAAAATGATTTCCTGATTGCTGAAAAATCCTGGCTAGAGGAAACTACTTGTAAAACTATCTCCCAGTAAAAGCTACAAATGCAAAAATATGAAAACTATAGCACTGTAAGAAGCCCACTCTAGGGTACATAAACATAACCAGTTCTAAAGTGGGTGCATGTGTGCCAAAAGAAAAGATAATCAAGTCAAACTGCAGAAGGGTTACCAAAATAAGGACAGGCAAGTGATTTTAAAGAAGCTTAATGAAGAAATAGAGGTGAAAGAACTGGGAAGCATCGTATTATCTTGGTAGCCAGATCAGAAGTTATTTCATCAACCCAAAGACAAAAGATACAAGGTTTTTAGGCTTATACCTGTTATTACCTTCCTTTTATTTTTACCAAGTTTTAAAAAATCTTAAACTCCAGTTTTTAATGACATAAATCAAATTAGGAACAGTGATTGACTTGGAGGAGGAGACAGCAATTGCTTAATTTCAGCCCTTAAAGTAGTTTTGGGGAAGCAGGGAGAATGATGGGTTGGGTTGGCATGATGTACAGACTCACGATACTCATTCATAATGTTTCTTCAAAGGCAACACTTCTACAAACAGACAAAGGGGTGGGTCAAAGGACAAGATGGGATATGTACAGGTAGTCCTCAACTTACAACAGTTCATTTAGTGACCATTCACAGTTACCTCAACACTGAAAACAGTGATTTATGACCATTTTTCACACCACTGTTGCAGCATCCCTATGGGCATATGATCAGAATTCAGACGTTTGGTAACTGGTTCATATTTATGACAGTTGTGGTGTCCCAGCGTCATGTGATCAACCTTTGCAACCTTCTCACAAGCAAAGTCAACGGGGAAGCCAGATTCACTTAACAACCAGGTTACTAATTTAAAAACTGCAATGATTCACTTAATAACTATGGCAAGAAAGGTTGTAAAATGGGGCAAACCTCACTTAACAAATGTCTCACTTAACAACAGAACTGGTACCTCTATTGCACAGGTACAGTATAGGTGGTACCTTGCTCAATAGTAACTGTGAGAGGGATCTTGGAGTCCTGGTGGACAATCACTTAAATATGAGTCAGCAGTGTACTGCAGCTGCCAAAAAAGCCAACACAGTTCTAGGCTGCATTAACAGAGGGATAGAATCAAGATCCCGTGAAGTGTTAATATCACTTTACAAGGCCTTGGTAAGGCTACACCTGGAATACTGCACCCAGTTTTGGTCACCACGATGTAAAAAAGATGTTGAGACTCTAGAAAGAGTACAGAGAAGAGCAACAAAGATGATTAGGGGACTGGAGGCTAAAATATATAAAGACTGGTTGCTGGAATTGGGTATGTCTAGTTTAACGAAGAGAAGATGAGGGGGGACATATTAGCAGTGTTCCAATATCTCAGGGGCTGCCACAAAGAAGAGGGAGTCAAGCTATTCTCCAAAGCACCTGAAGGCAGGACAAGAAGCAACGGATGGAAACTAATCAAAGAGAGAAGCAACCAAGAACTAAGGAGAAATTTCCTGACAGTTAGAACAATTAACAATTAATTTCTGCCTCCAGAAGTTGTGAATGCTCCATCATTGGAAGTTTTTAAGAAGAGGTTAGACAACCATTTGTCTGAAATGGTATAGGGATTCCTGCCTGAGCAGGGGGTTGGACTAGATGACCTCCAAGTCCCTTCCAATGCATTGCATTGCATTCTATTCTATTCTATTCTATTCTATTCTATTCTATTCTATTCTATTCTATTCTATTCTTACAGAACTTTTGGGCTCAATTGTGGTTGTAAGTTGAGGACTACCTGTATTTGTTTTTTTTTTACATTCAAAGCTGCTTAGATCTATTTTATAGAACAGTGGTGGCGAACCTATGCCACAGGTGCCAGAGGCAGCACTCGGAGCCCTCTCTGTGGGCACATGTGCCATTGCCCCAGTCTTGCCTCCCCCCGTGACCCCCTCCTCTCCAGCAGCCTCCCTGAAGGAGAGTCACCCTCAAGCGTGGCCCACACGGAGCAGCACAGCCAAGGACATGGCAGCCATGCAGCTTAGACAAGACTCTGCCCTCACACCCCATCATGCAGTTGATCCTGCAGGGTGCGGGCAGAGCGTCTGGCCACCATAGTGCTGCTAGGTTGCCTGGGCGATCTGTGGCGGGCCCTGGAGGCGGTGAGTGGTCGTGTGGGCAGACGGGGCGGGGGCGTAGAGCAGGGGCAGGGCAGGGGGGTGGAGCGGGGGCGTGGCCAGTTTTTGGGCACTCGGTCTCTAAAAGGTTTGCCATCACTAATATAGAAGGTTGCACATTTACTGCTTGTTCTCTTAAAAAGCAAAATTAGTCTAACCTAAAGCAAGCTGGAGGATGAGGGGAGTTGCAGTCTGACCTATCTGAAGACCACCAGGTTGAGAAAGACATATAAGCCCTAATTTAATAAGGCTCATGCAAGCTAAAGCTAATGAAAGGAAGCATCAGGCTTACATTGATCATCTTATCAGCATTTATTTCCACTTAACACAACTTGTCACCCTGCTAGGAATTGCAGTGATAAATAGTTGTTTAAATATGCCAATGCTAGCAAACACCATTTGTTTTGTCTAAAATGATGACCCAACAGAAGGAAGAGGGGAGGAACCTGAAGGGTGATGGAAACTGCACTTGGCAAACCAGAATACACTGAAGACCAATACATGAATTTGCCCAATATATGGAACCAAGTGATTAATGTAATCATGCCTTATATTGAAACTACTCTGGCAGAGCTTCCTAGATGACCTCCTATACTCCAATAATGTCCCATGAGCCATAGTGAATGAGGAACACATGACAAAACTTGGAAACATGATAGAACTCAAAACTTCTGGTACTTACTTACCTCAAGTTCTAATATTCTAAATTCCAACAGTTCATTTTGATCTTTAGCATCCTGAACCTCATGCTTTAGCCGAGCTTCTTCTACTTCCATTTGTTTTATCTAGAAAAGCAGAAGGATTTCCCCCTTTTTTTGTCAATAGCTTGTTTTTATTATACAATGACTAGAGAACAGATTATGGAAGCTAAGAGTGTGATCTCTAATTCTGCTGCAGCCATTAACTCAGGATTATACTATATCAAACCACCACTGCTCATCCTCACACTTCTATATGTAGATAATAGTATTAACCAATTTTAAAAACAAATGTCAGAGCTGAGGTATATGTGAAAACTAGAAAGGCTAAATGTTGTTGTCATTCTACAAAAAATGAAAGTCACAATTTTATAGTTTATGTTATTTTAATCTTCAGAATTGAAATAGGAATGAAGATGTCTAAACAACATTGAGAATACAAAAAAACCCCACCATTTCTGTCTGGTGACAATTCTTCTATAAGTTTGGACTCAAATAATATACCCTTTTCACAAAGGACTTCACCAAACAAATACATTTCATGAAATGCTCTTTTGCCTTAGGATTTTTCTTTACTGATACATTTACACTTATTTTTATGTTTCTTATGAAAGTGGAAGATACCTTTTCCACAAGCTCTTGGTTTCTTTTGTATAAAGCCTGCTTTTCTTCAATCCACTTCATGTCCTTAAAAAAAAAATTAGTGTTAGAGAAAAGAGATGGGAAAACACCATGAATCTTTTAAAAAGGCAAAACATTTGAAGAGAGAATATACGTGCATAAGAAACTAGGAAAGCACAGCTGAAATTTGTCTTCCTGATTTGGCTTCAGTAGTTTCTAGAGAAAAATACATTTTGACTTTCCAACAGCTGATGATCTGTCCTTTGAAGATCACTGAAATGAAACACACTATTTTTTTTCTTTTTGTTGTTGTTGTTAGGGTTGAATGTATGCTTTTGTTTCATTTTGTTTGTTTTTGTTTTACTGTTTTATATTTTATTTTCTATGATAAAATAAGAAAAAATAAGAAAAATAGAGGGAACAAAGCAAGAACAAAGCATCTGTTCAAGAGAAAGAGCTAACCCAAAGGACTGTGTTTCTGGATTATACACCAATAATATATACCAATAAAGGAAAATATTTGTAGCTCAGAGTTGAAATGAGTCGTCTTTAATGCCCTCTGAGCTTAGTTGCCATGAATCGAACATCTCAGAAACCACCAACAGACTACTACAGGGGTCTTCAAACTTGGCCCTTTTATGACTTGTGGACTTCAACTCTCAGAATTCTTCAGCCTGGCACACTGGCTAAGGATTTTTGGGAATTGAAGTCCACAAGTCATAAAAGGGCCAAGTTTGAAGACTCCTGGACTACTACATCCACATGGAATCAGCTTAGGAACCAAGCCAACTAAAACCCTTCAAAACATCCCAAGTAAGCCAAATACCCAGCAGCAGCTAAAGAAAAAAACAGGAGTCATCTAACAACATACAGTGTAATGACTGCAACAGCGACTTTGTAGGATAATCAGGCAGAAGACTAGCAGAATACATCCATGAACACCAACAGCAGTCAGAAGACATGGTGAAAACTCTTTAATTTCACAACATATAGACAGACGTAACCATAGTTTCAATTGGGAAACTGTAACCATCTTAGACTAAGCCAAGTCCAAAATGCTAGGGAATTTCTAGAAACATTGGCATTCTGACAAATTAGCCATCAATAGACCCATAGACATAAACAATATTTCCATACTATGCAAAAGAGACAATCAACAAGCAAAAAAAGATCAAAACACCTCCCCATCAATCAGCACCCAGATGAACACAAAGATTAACATCAGATCAACAATAAATAAACAATACCACAAACAAGGAATGACCAAAGAAGCCAACAGTAAACAGGCCAAGCAAAGATCTATAAGACAACACCCCTGCCCAACACTGACAGGGCAAGCCACACGAATATAAACTGAGAGCAAACCCCACTCCTAACTATCTACTGATGGTGTTACCTAGTTTGGGTAATGAAACATCTGCAAGAAAACAACCAAACTCAGAGAGCACTAAGGAACCCTCAATAATATATACATCCAAGTTACCTTCCAAAATCTCAGTTTTATAGCCAAAATTGAGCTTAAAACTAAATGAGATCAAGAACTAAGCTATAGATTTAGTAAGTGCATTTCTGGGAGAAAAAAAAATCTTTTCTCTAGGACTATAATAAAAATTTCTCATACAAAACAAAATAAATAGAGCTCAAATAAGAATCAAATCAATCTCTCCCTGGAAATGAGATTGGCAGCAGCTTTAGGTAGAGGCAATGCTTGAAAAGGAAAAAAAAGTCAAAGGACTTTTAAATGTGCAGCAAGGAAGGATGAGTATGAACACGGACAGCAGGTGTTTGGACATTTCTAGATTGTCCAACAAAGGCTGCCAAGTCTCAACAATTCTAGGATGATGATAAGGACAGGAGAGAAAATGAGAGGTTCACCCTGAAAAGTGAAAAGAAACCACAAAGAATCTGAGTAGCTTGACTCCTACAACAATGTGACAAAAGACAGACTGTTAAAGACAAAATCATACCAGAGGTGGCTATTAGATTGATACCAAACCCCACTTCTCTCCTGGTTCCCTGCTTCCCTACCCATTCATCTTTTATTCTTATATCGCTGTAGTCTCATTGTTTTCTTTCTTATTGTTTATTCTATTGTCCCATTACTTTGTTACTATTATATTTACACCTCTTAACATTTCTCCATTATTATTGTTGTAAGCCACTTAGTGTAGCCCCATGGAGAGGTAGGTGGCAAATAAATTTAACAATAAATGAATAAAATAAAAGGGGTGAGGCATTCTGGTACTATTTGACCAATTAGGAGGGTGAGAGACGTTAAAGGAATATTTTTCTTGCCACTGCTCCATATTAATCACTTAAAGTTTCTTCTGTTAGGTAAGTGGGTTTTACAAGTTTTATAAGAATCAGCCAAGCTCTGGTATTTTTAAAAGAATTTCTCTTCAGGTTAATTAGGACACATCTCTCCACACTTCAGTTGTAATATTTGAACAATTGAAAATCAATTTTCTGACATTTCTTCTAAATTTCGGCTCACCTTTTCCAGAAAAAAATGGAAACAATTGAATTGGAAAAACACAATATATAAATATACATGAAACAGAGATCCAACCTCTCTCAACCTTTATATAATACCTGTCATTATGGCACTTTCCATTCTGGCTAGAGATATTAAAAGGTTAGTAATAAAGGTCCAACTCATCTGGCAAGTACTAGATTTAAGTAACAAAATGGTTAAAGCAAAAAAAAATTGTGAGTGTATTTGATTTAGAGGAAAACAACTGGATGTTGAGCAGCCTATACAATATAAACTCCAAAAAGAGATCATGATATGAATGGAAATCATGAAGTTCTGTTTTTAAGGGCAATAAATCAAATGAAAAGCATATATAACTGATAAAATATTGATTTATATTGATATAGAAATGTTGATGTCAGAACTGCATAAAATGCATTCAATATAGAAGCTTATTATGTTTTTTTATACAGTGTTTATTCTGATAGATTGAAACACAAAATTCAGTAAATTTTAAGGACAGAACCTAAGTTATATTCAGAACATTCTACACTAACTTCTTGTTGATTTTCAAGTATAATTCAAATTGCTGGATTTGGATTTTGAGCCATGGTATTTGATGGACAGTTCTCGTTTTCTGCCATTTGTCTTTTTTCTGAGATCATCTTTCTCTCTCTGCCTGCGCTGCTTTGAATTTTAATACTCATTGCTCCATTCACACAAAATAATAAAGCATTGTTTAATGGACAGAAAGGGAGCATGAATAAAAATGGACTGCAGGATTGCAGCACATTTCAAATATTAATAGCAATAACACTTAGACTTACATACCACTTCATAGCGTTTTACAGCCCTCTTTAAGCAATTTACAGAATCAGCATATTGCCTCCAACAATCTGGTTCTCATTTTCCTGATCTCGGAAGAATGGAAGACCTCGGTCAGGATCAAACTCCTGGCAGTGGGCAGTGTTAGCCTGCAATACTGCATTCTAACCACTGTGCCACCATGGCTCATTATGTGATATAGTATGGAAGGTGCTGGACTTGAATCAACCTTCAGCTCACTAGGGGATTTTGATCCAATAGCTCTCTCACCAAACTTATCTCACAGATTTGTTTCTATGGGGAAAATTCAAGGATACAATGCTATGCATGCTGCCTTGAGCTCTTGGAATAAAGGCAGGATATAAATCTAATAAATAAACAAACTTACTTGTTTATTATTAATTTAAATAAATAATAAATAAAACCAGGAAATATGGTTTATAGTAAACTAAGATCTAACCTGTCCAGAATTTGGAACTGGTGTATTTAACTATAATTTAAATTATAACTTGCAGGTTAGTGGAACGAAGGAATCAGAAAATGTGGAACTGAATTCTATTTCTGTTTCCAGTAAAGAAGGAGAGATTTTACTTGGACTATTTTATACATATAAACTGATTTAGCTTTAGAAATATAGAAATACAGAAATATTTCAGACTTACGGTATGTCCCATGAATGGAATTATCAGGAAAATTAATTCAGAATTAAATTCACTCCTCCTCTAGATCATTCAGTGATTTTCCAGAAATTAATCCCGTGAAATGGAAAAGGGGTATAAGATTACAGACATAGTTCAACCCGAAAACAAGCCTGCTTCATCCCAAACGCAATGTTCAGAACCATTTTCAATTCAGCAGATTAATTTTTGGAAAACTTGGACAATCTCTAGGAAAGCTTGGAATGCACAGGGAATTGGATTTTGCTCATACTTCCATGCAGAGCTTTTTTTTGTCATAGAACACCCAGAAAGGAGTTTCGGCACCTTTTTTGGATGGAACCTTGTAGGGTAGTCAAGGCGGGTTGTATGACATGTGTGAGTTCAGGCACTTTTTTTTTTTTTTTTTTTTACAAAAAAAGCACTGCTTCCTTGTGAACTGTCCTATTGTTAGTTATCTTATAGTGATAACTTTTGATAAATTTGTTACAATAATGTGAACTAGCACAAAGCACTTTTTTCCCAATGTATATTACCTGTCCTTGTTCAGCAAGTGCCTTTTCTAGATCCTCTATTTGAGCTTGGGATCTCTGAATTTCTGCCTGAAGCTGCTCACGAGTCTGTAGGATGGGATTGAAGAAATGTCAAACTTACTCTGATTGCTGCTATGCTAAATTACAATGCAATCTTACCAAACTGAATGGCCTAAGGCAGGCAACCTTGGCTCTTTTGTGACTCGTGGACTTCAACTCCCAGAATTCCTGAGCCAGCTCAGGAATTCTGGGAGTTGAAGTCCACAAGTCATAAAAGAGCCAAGGTTGTCTACCCCTGGCCTAAGCAAATATTGCAGACACTTGAATATTTAGTCACACACTCAAATAAATCAATTGTACATTCATTTTATCCCTAGGACATGTTTTCATGGAAGGATAAGAAATTGGAACTGATACATGCTAAAGACAGCATAGCTTTCTTATACCAATTCCAATACTTCAGGGGCACATTTTCATGTTCATCATCCTGTATCACCTATTTCTTTTAGATTATTAAAAACTGATTTCATGTAATACCTGTCAGTAACCATAGGAAATTGGTTACAAAACGGTGAAAAATTATGTGCCTGTACAACTTTACTAATAACCCTTCATTTACTTTTTTTATTTTCTAGCATCTACAATGCCATTGAATTCCAATTTCATTCAGGAAATTTGTTAAAAATAAACATGTTTTCATTAGGGATGTTTACTTCTTAGCTGGGGATGAGTTGGTTAGTATTTTCCACTTTACGGCAATTTCATTTAATGTTTAATTATATATTTAATTATATATTCACATATGCATGTATAAACACATTGATCTTCAAGACATATCTCAGAAAAAAATTTCATATATTTTTAAATTGGGAATTGTACTGGAACACTGGAAAATATGGAAGCAGATCGATAATTATGTGATCAGATTTCCATTTCTGCAGTATTGAAATCCACAAAGATCATATTCCAAAAGTTTTATTCCTCTTGTTTAAAAACTCAGGCTTTCATATTCATTCATTCATTTATTCATTTATTAAATTTATATGCTGTCCAGAGTTGTCTTATCAGTGAGAGAGACAGCATATAAAGTTATAAACAAATAAATAAGGTTATATATGCAAATTGCTTACTTTCAGAGACCTTAGATTTATTACATCTGATATTCCATGAGATATTATTCCATAGATAAATCCTATATCGTGGAGGCAGAGGAAAAATACCAGTTGGTCTTGTCACATGTCCAGAAAAGAAAGGAAACTGGTCTTGTTATTATTATTATAAGATTCATTATTATTATCATGCAACATGGCTAGAATGCATAATTATCAAATTTAAATATCTAGTTTACTCCCTGAAATTTTATGTTTAAACAAAAAATCACATTTCAAGACCAGTGCCTAGGACAGTGGTGGCGAACCTATGGCACACGTGCCAGAGGCGACACTCGGAGCCCTCTCTGTGGGCACGCATGCCATGCCCCGGAGATGGCAACAATCCCTCTTCAAGCAGTCGCTCGCTAACTTGCCGAGGTTCCACGTGGCTGGATGCATCCCAGCACAGCTGGTTTCTCTCCCCTCTGTCTCATCCCTCCTGGCCTCGCATGCTCTCCTTTTCCCGGGCACGACCCACTGCATCGCCTCCTCAGCTGTTGGCCAGCTGTCCAGCTCAGAGGCGGCTTCTCTGAACTGCTAGTGGCAGGCTGTGGAACCACAGAGTGCGCCAGTCGAGGGGCTGGCAGGCTGTGGCTGCTGACGGACACTGTTGGCCCCCATGCGCTCGCTGGCCTCTGTGTCCAGGGGCCGATGGTGTCAGGCAGCAGCCGCCCCGGCCCCTCCCTCACCCTGCAACAATGGTACCCCAGCCCTGCCTCACCTTGCCTCACCTCACCCCACAGGACAAGCCTCCTGCTGACTGCCCCACCTACCAGAGACCTGGTATTTATTTATTTATTTATGAGACTTATATACCGCTTTAAGTGCAAGCACTCTCTAAGCGGTGTACACCAGTAAGCAATGTATCTATATATTTACATTGCCCCCAACAATCTGGGTCCTCATTTTACCTACCCCGGAAGGATGGAAGGCTGAGTCAACCTTGAGCCGGTGAGATTTGAACCGCTGACCTGCTGAACACAGTCAGCTAAAGTGGCCTGCAGTACTGCACTCTAACTGCTGTGCCACCTTGATATTTGGTACTTATTGTCACATCATAACATAAATAAGTGGGGAGTGGAAGGAACAGGTGAAGAATTTGGTCCTAGGAAGTTATTATGGGAATGTTCTCCTCCTGTTATCTGATTACCTTATTACTGTGTAGCCTTAATATTTAGCCAAGTCAGATATGATACTTGAAAGAAACAGTTCCTTGCCATGGAAAATTGATACCCTTACACACTAGAAAGTTCTGGCAGACTTATCTACTTTGGAAAAGAAGCTTAGTTTGCTAGAAAAGCTTCTTTCCAACTTCCATGCACAACAATTCTTTTAGCAATAGGAATAAAAATGAAAGAGATAAAAATATATATTTCGCGATCATAAATAGTTACTTTGTCAGAGATGTGTATAAGGTACTTTTCCAAAAAAGGTGATCCACAAGGAAGAGAAAACAGAAATCAGCATGCTCAAATTATTCAGTTTAGAATATATTTTTATGAAATGTGTATGGGCATTTAATATTCAAGGACATGGATTAGAATTTCCACAGATTTTAATGTCAAGGGTTTTCCTTTAAGCACTGTTTTCAAGCTAATAAGGGCTTTCTTGGTGTATGCTTATATGTAAATTTTTAGTAATTTCCTTCATCCTTAGACAGACAATTGTAATTTTATTCCAAATTTAAATCAACAAAAAATGTTGTAGTATGCCAGGAAAAGAAAAAGAGATTGAAAGCCATGATTTAGATGCTCTGGATTTACTGGTGGGATGCTGGAAATATGTGACTTGCAATGCAATAATCAAAGGATTTCTTAATAAGTGTAGTTTTTAATTTATTGGTGGGAGAAGCAAAGCAAGTTTGTTAAATGTCAAGCATTCCTATAATTTCACACAACTCCCTCTCACAATTTATTTATTTGTTTGGTTTTTATTTAAAATGTTTATCTAGCTTCCCAGCTTTTAACACACATGGAGTGGTTCCCAGTAAAGCATAAATCTATACAGTGTATCTTTAATGCCCCATTCTCAGCATATCTTTTTAAATAGGTCCCTCTAAAGAAGAGGGGGGGTCCAAGCTTGGCAATTTTAAGACTTGGCTGGCTGGGGAATTCTGGGAATTGAAGTCCACAAGTCTTAAAGTTGCCAAGGATGAACACACCTGTTCTAAAAGTGAGAGGGAGGGGAACTGGAAAATTTGTAGAAAGTTTAAGAGCAACATGATATGGTTACAAGTCTTTACTTTCATGTAATATAAGCCATTTAGACCTTAACTTCTCGTTCAGCATCCAACGTCCCTCCAACTTGTTCTTGCAACAGTGCATATGCCCTCTGTAAAGCTTGATATTCCATTGTCAGTTGCCTGAATCTTAATTCTGTTTCTTCTTTGGCCATACCCTAGTATGAGAAGGAATACAAAACTGAACTGGAGATGCAATGACCCCAATAAAGCATTCATCAGTGTGTTTATGAACAGTATAAACTCTTCTATGAAATCACGCAGTGAAAGAATTATAAAAAATGTTATTAATGGATTAACAGAAAATATTTTTAATGCCAAATCTGTGCTAGTCTCCAAATTACATGACCAAACTAGGAACCGCAGCTTAAAGTCTACCAATGATTTTTCTTGGACCAGAGTCCAACTTAACAGATACTATGGAGCTAATCTATGTGGTCACTAAGAGTCAACAATGATCGCATATAATCAATTTAAAGTAACATTTCTCTAAACATAATTTATTATTATTATTATTATGGATCATTGCACAGTCAGGCAGATGTTCAGACTGGATATGGCATTTTGTCTACCTATCGAGTCCTTACCCAGGACCTGGGATAGGCAGATGTGGATGTTTGATGGTATTACAGATATCGTCGCAGGATGGAAGCAGTTCCTAGTAAGGCCGCTTTTTGCAATTGACTAATAGCGAATTTGTCAATGTCAATGGTGTTCAAGTGGTGCTCCAGTTGTTTTGGGATTGCACCCAAGGCGCCTATGACTATTGGTACTACCTTTGCTTGCTTTTGCCACAGTCTTTCTATTTCTATTTGTAGGTCTTTGTATTTTGTTATCTTCTCCAGTTCTTCCTCGTCTATTCTGCTGTCTCCAGGCACTGCCACGTCCACTATCCAGACTTTTTTGTCTTTCTTATCGACAATTGTTAAGTCTGGGGTGTTAAGTTGCAGGTGCTTGTCTGTTTGAATTCTGAAGTCCCAGAGCAGTTTAATTTTATCATTTTCTATGACTTTCTCTATTTTATGATCCCACCAGTTTTTGCTTACAGGCAAATGATCTTTTTTGCAGATCTTCCAATGCACCATTGTTGCTACTTTGTCATGCCGCTGCTTGTAATCAGTTTGTGCAATCTTCTTGCAACAGCTTACCAAGTGGTCCACTGTTTCTTCAGCTTCTTTGCATAGGCGGCCCTTACTGTCTGTTGCTGTCTTCTCAATTTTGACTTTGTATGCATTTGTCCTTAAGGCTTGGTCTTGTGCAGCCAGAATTAATCCCTCGGTCTCTTTCTTCAATTTTCCTGCTCTTAGCCATTGCCAGGTTTTATTATTATCTGCTTTCCCATCTATTTTTTTCATGTATTGGCCATGTAGTGATTTGTCTTCCCATGCCTCTATTCTGTTCTTCATTTGGTCTTTCTTGTAGGCCAGTTTGGTCTCTCCAGTAGTTAGTAAGCCTTCCTGATATACTAATTTCAGTGCATCTTCATCATTGTTCTTCAGATATTATTATTATTATTATTATTATTATTATTATTATTATTATTATTAGCATATGGTATTGTTATAGTAGCCAGGAGACTACAATGCTATTGCAGAATAGTAGTTTGGCTTACCAAGGTACTAGCCCTATTATAGGAAATACTTGTGTGCTTCCCAAGGTGCACCACAGGAGGGTCAGCTGGCTTCACACCAGAGAGATGAGTGGCTCTTCTTCCAGCATCACCCAAGGCCCCTTCCCTTCCCGGGGTTGCCTTGCAAACAGGAGCCTCAACTGAGAAGGTTCGGAGCCGTCAGGAATCTGCCTACTGCACACAGTACCAGCTCATCTCCCCACCAAAATGGTCCCTATTTATTTACTTGCATCAAACATGCTTTCGAACTATCAGGTGGAAAGAAGCTGAGGTGAGTAACAGAAGCTCACCCTGCTATGCAGTGCTAGAGCTTGAACGGTTGGAGCTGAGACGATCTCAGTGTCATTAAGCCACTGAGTCACCACACCTCACTCTAAATATAAGATAGAAAAGTCTTCCATGTATGACTTAAATATTCTCCATTTTGAAGTCAGCTCTAGAAGAGACCTTGTTGCTCATGGTCAATGGTATACTGCAATGATCTCCCTGCAAAGTTTATATTACTACTACTAAAACAAGAATACATTTAATTACATTCCATATAATATCTCTTTAAGCATAAATTCCTTTTTGAACATTATACATATCATAAATTACCTCTTCCAAGTCATCATCTGGTGTGCAGGGAGTTTGATCTGTTCGATCCGTTTGGTATGAGATTGAAGAGCCGTCAGATTCAAGAGATGCTTCTTCATCGTACCCAAAAAATGTTTCCACCACTGGCTTCTGACCAAATGACAATGTGTAAGTACAAACAAGCCAAAGTTGCAAAGATGTTAAGCATAACAGACATAAGGAATGATTAGATTTCTTTCTTCTGGACTGCAGTGCTGTTTATGAATTTCAGCACTTTTCTCATTATACAGTAGCTTATCAGATCTGCCATATAAATGGGCAGCAGAGTAAGTAATAATTATCCATCAAGTACAATTCATAGTTTTCTAATCATTAATGAATACTGAAGCTGCTTTTCAGCCAGCATAAATCTTCTATAATTTCAATAGAGAATCATCACAAATGAGAGTAAACTTGATATTTAATCTATCGTGGGATAAAAAAAATTGGCACTATCATCTATGAGTATTCTCTCGATGCATAAAAAAAGGGATTGTGAACTGGAAGAAAATCTTTAAATAGACTTTCATAGAGATAAAGATGTTTAGGAAGAACAGCTAAAAAGGGGATAAGAGGAGGGGGTATAAATTGAGAAGGAATGGATGGGGGAAGGAGGGTGTCAGAATGGAAGGTTTTGCAAAATAATTGATTTAGGGACTGGTAGGGATGAAAAAGCTCTATGGTAGGACTTATATTGTCTTTAAATTAAAAGATAATAAGAGAACGGATTGGCATCATTTCATATATACTGTTTGAAAATATATAAAACTATCTCAATTTTCGGTATTCTAAAGAGTTGGGGATATTTTACTCATGGAGGAGGGAAATATCTTTCCATTAAATAACTCCAAATGAGCAAAGAAGAAAGTGCTTATTTTAGTCAAGAATCAAGATAAGAAAGCAAGTAGCAATTCCTTGGAATTCACTTTGCTGCAATTCACTACGGGGAGATGTTTAAACTTCTGAAATTTAGGGAGAAATGTTGAGGAAATAGCTGAGATTTGCTTAGCTCTTCCGCCTTCTAAGAAGTTGTTGCCAGATGTTCTGGAATAAAGACTGATAGACTCATATACAGAGATCAGTTTATTTTTATTTTTTTATAGATATTTTATTGGTTTTTAACTATAACAATCTCCAGTGCCTAGTGCACAGCATGTTGTCTTGGTTTATATTTTAACAAGAAAAAAAGGACAGTAATAATTAATTAACAGTCAATAATGATTAAATTTGATAATTCCATAATATGCTACTTAATAATACATTTCTTTGATCTTCCCTTCTCCCATTTATATTTTCCTTCTTCAACCTTAGCCAAAATATAATTCTTAATATTTTCAATATATAAATGATTAGGTATAGACATTTTTTATATTTATACAAATAATAATTATCTCTTTATATAACATTTTTTCAGCTTATATTATTCTCATAACCATCATCTCATTAGTTCAGCATGCATCCTATTTTTATAATTTTTGTTCACTTAGATTCCGTTATATTAAATCCAACTCTTATCAGTCATAATTTCTTCATATTAATCATCTCACTGTCTAAATTTTCCCATTTAGATACATCATCCCAATATCTTATGTCATGCATTATAAAAATACTATACTTTTTATCTGTCTTATAGTATCTAGATATAACATCCTTTTTAATCAGTTTATATTTTACTTATATATTAATAAAACTTATATCAACCTACTATTTTAACATTTAATATATTATAAAACATACTATATTATTTAAATCAGTGGTTCTCAACCTTTTTAATGCCGCGACCCCCAACCGGTCGTAAGTCGAGGACTACTCAACCGGTCGTAAGTCGAGGACTACTCAACTGGTGCAGCACCGTTTGCAGAATGGGACTTTTGGCAGGCTCAGCAGGGCATAGACAGCCTGGACAATTCCTATTGGCTTTTGAAAGCCAATAGAATTAGACTCTATTCAAGAGAGTCTATTCTATTGGCTTTCAAAAGCCAATAGAATAAAAGGAAGTAGCACAGCTAAGGAAAAGGGGAAAAAATGGCGGACTGCGTTGTTTGGCGACCCCCGTGAAATGGTCAGGTTGAGAACCACTGATTTAAATCTCATTATCCTTCTTGTTATAAGGCCCCTTTATGTTCGAAATTCTATGTTCTTTTAGCCATATTCAAACAAATGTTTATTCACATAATAGTCCATCTGGTAGGGCAAGTCAAATCTCTTATATCTGTCTCTGATTTTCTTCTTTTGCCAAGTAATTTTCCAAGTTGATGTAATCCGCTTTCCCAACAGTTCCTGTATTTTTACAAATGTTGTTAGGAATACAAAAGATGAAGTAAGAAAGATAAATTCTTTCTGTCCCCCAAACTTTAATAGTTCTCCTAATAATTCCATTTTTCCTGTTGTATGAGAACCTTGTAGATTTTTTCCTGTTTGTGTCAAATTGTAATTCTTTTCCTTTGTTATTTTATCAATTTGATCCTACTCTTCTAGTTTGTAATCTGATGTCTGATTTGTTTGTTCCTTTGTTATTATTTCCTGGGTATTTTTTAATTGTAGATTTAGATTGGAAATTTGCTTATTTAAATCCTCAAAGTTGTTTCGAATTTCATCGTGGTTTGAATCTATTATCATTTGTATTTGTCCTAACATTACATATATTTCCTCCGGGAAAGTATTTTTCTTGTCTTGAAGTATTGTTTCTGGAGGCCCTTGATTTTCCAGGCGAAGTCCTTCAAGAGAAAATATTGAATGTAGCATCCTGTCATTTTTTGATACGTATTTGATATCCATGTTGTCTCTCCTCTTCAAATAATCTTTCATCGATGTTTTAATTCAAAAGTCAATTTATCAGTCAATTGAAATTACAGATTCAGTATATTAAGCCACTTTAAATCCTTCCTGCAAATTCTCCTCTAAAAAATTAGCCAAAAGCTAAGTTTCCCCTCCCCCCCCATAAACAGTTCTTAGGTTTAAGCAACAGTCCAGGTGTTTTCTTTCTTTCTTTTTTCTTTCAAACACTTTTTAATTTTATAGTTGGTTCTTCCTTTGTTCCCAGCTGTCTTCAAGGTTATTTGCAATTCAAAGGAACAGCTTTTTCTATGTTTCTGGGCATTCTGCCAATTTCTGAGTCCTTACTGTTAGTGTTCTAGTCTCTGATTCTCCACTAGATGTCAGCAGTTGTTTCTTTTTTCAGTTTTTTTTCTTTCAATCAAAAAGTTATTTTTGTTATATATTTTTATAATTCCATCAGAATTTTTTTAGGGTATGACAGTTTTTTAGTTCCTAGATTTGTCCAGACTGAAATATTTTAAATCAAATTTTAGTATATCTCTTTCTACCTTTTATGTTAATTCGCCGCTTCCATCTGTACGGGAATGGGGATATAGTTCCCTTCCTTCACTTCTGGAGGTTTTCTTGCTTTGGGGATCTTTTCAAGGATTTAAATAGTAGATAGAAGAAAGAAGATCAGTACTCTCACCAATTCCAAGCACGCTGTTCACCGATGTCTAGGTTCATGCTCTGGGACTTCGGCTACAAGCAGCTTGGGGTAGACACTGATCTCATGCTAGCCTTTCTCCTGTTGGGTTTGGAGGGCTTTCCCTGGATCAAACGAAGCAATTGCCGTTGTTTCGTGATCAGTGGGGCGCCCCTCCTTCAGAGTCACCTCTCCGGGGCAACTTTGGACCAATCTAGGGTCCCCCAAACAGAAAGAAACTAGCCGTGGAGAGCGAAGGTCCACTCTTGTGTGGACATGCACTGCAGATGCCCAGAGATCAGTTTAGATCAGTGACATTTTAATTCAAAAAGGATTTTTTGAAGAGATTTTGAACATTCTGAAAATCAATTTGAGTTCACCGTTCAACTGAGCTTTTAACATTTCAGTTAAAGTATATGTCTCTCTGTAAAATTTATCCAGAAGAGTTTAGAGAAAGCACAATTTGAATTAATTTAAATATTGGAATAAGTTATCAGTAAATTTTTGACATTCTTAATGGTATTTGTCTGTATAATTTTATATTAGAGCTGCACCTGACTGGAGTGACTTTGATGATGCTATTTTAATAAAAGTCTTCATGTTTAGATTGAGTTAGTGTAGTTTTGAAGGGCAAGTGAAGCTGTGAATTAATAGTGGGGAAAGATCTACATTCCCACTCTGTTTATAAATTTCTCAAAAGCGTCTGGTTAAATCTGTGCGAATCCAGATGCTCGGCCAGATGGTATATTTCATTATTCCATCAAATCTCTCATAATATATGCTCGAAAATAAGCTTTTTTACATTATTCACTTACCTTGGGAAATTTTGCAAATTTCTTCCTTTGTTTCTTGTATCTTAAAAGCTTGTCACGCTCCTGTCCAAAAGAAATGAACAAACAATAGTTTGTTCATAGTTTATAGAAGGTGTGAAATGAGGATTGAGTTTAGCAATCAAATTGTAGAGATAATTTATGGTGCAAATCAGAATACAGTAAAACAAAAAACAAAACAAAACACCTTGAAGTTAAAAATTTGATACTTAGGCTTTAGGAGCACAATTTGTCCTTGGTTTTTACTTTTAATTTTCTACCATCTTAGAGAGAATTCTGTAGCTCATATCTGTATTAGTAATTTGAATAAATTGTTTTGCTATTAATACATAATATCACTAAATATCTACAGCTAGTCCTTGACTTACGACTACAATTGAATCAAAAATTTCTGTTGCTAAGTGAGACATTTGTTAAGTGAATTTTGTCCTATTTTAGGACCTTTCTTGCCATATTTGTTAAGTGAATCACTACAGTTGTTAAGTTAGGAACTCGGAATCAAGCTTCCACACTGACTTTACTTGTCAGAAGGTCATAAAAGGGGATCATATGAGCCCAGGACCCTGCAACCATCATAAATATGAACCAATTGCCAAGCCTCTGAATTTTGTTCATGTGACCACAAGGATGCTGCAATGGTTGTAAGTGTGAAAAATGGTCATAAGTCTTTTTTTCAGTGCTGTTGTAACTTTGGTCACTAAATGAACTGTTGTAAATTGAGGACTATCTGTATAGCTAAATAATCCCAAGCAGAACACTGGGAAGCATATATGAAAATCAAAGTCAAATGGGAATTTTACTTACTCTTACACTCTTCACATAGCCAGCAGTTTCTAGAGTCTTGTTTAAAAGAATTAAAAGAAAAAGTTAAGGTGTTACAATTGCAATAAAGATTTTGCATGTGCTCATTTTGTTTCCTTCCACACACATTTTGTGGCACATAGTTATTGTGCAAATGGCTCTGTCTGGATGATCAACAAGAATGCTTGGTGGGAATCCTGACATAAGTTTCCAAATGCCTAAAATATCTAAGATTTAATAGTAGGGATTTTTTTTTCTACCCAGTGGTAACTCTGGTTTTAAAGAACTCTAATCCTCAAGTTCCATGGCTTTTACATTTCTTTGAAGAAATTTGTGGAAGTTTCGTTCTGACAACAGATAAATTCTTGACGTGTTGGATCACAATTCCTATGATCTCTTGAACCCAGCATTTTAGGAATTGTGATCAAATATATCTGGACAACATCAGATTGGGTAGAGCAGGGCAATGTACTGATACATTAATTTCATCTTAATGGAACTGAAACAAACAAGAGATTGGTAAGGCAATTGACTACATACCCTCCAAATTTTGGAAAAATCTCTTCTTCTAACTCTAGCAAGATAAAGTTGTCTACTATGATGCCACAAGGGAGGAAAGTAATTTTTCTCTCACTGAGCAAATCCCCAAATGTAGAAACATGAGTTAAGTGTTTAGTTTTTATCATGCCCTTTTTTAGTTTAGTTTTTATCATGCCCTTTATTTTTATAGCATGAAGTGAGATACAATAGAGCTTTCTTTATTACTGAACCTGAAAGGTAGATTTTTGCCAAGAAAAAAACAATGATTACATTTGGCTTCAATTAATTACATAGTTAATAGCTCAGAAATTTAGCCTTGTTCATCTGTCTAGATAATACAGCAATTATCAGATGATTTTCAATCTTTCTACTTAGTGCTGCTTAATAACTTTCATCTTATATTGTGTAAATTAAGTTAAGGTCTTATTTTCCCCCATCCAAACCCAACCCTACACAGAAGGAGAGAGTCTAACCAATGTTAGAGAGAAAGAGAAAGATTTTGGTTACCTTCGAAAGTTCATCTATGATATTCTGCTGCTCTATGATCTGTAGCCGCAAAAAGTCAACTTCCCTTTCATCTTGATTCTGATCAAGATCATTTAAAGAACTTGGTCTTCTTATTGTCTTCACTCTTTGTCTCTAAAGGAACAGAACAAACATTGAGAAATTGCTAGAATGCTTATTTATTTATTGGAGGAATGTATTTATCTATTACCATGCTTGGTGAAGACTATATATGATTTCCACTACTTTAAATTGGCCCTTATGTGCTACAACAACAGTTCCTGCATCCTTAACTAAACATGTCAGTGCAATGAGTTATATATTATATACTTTTAGAAAACAGTCCTAGAAACACTGGAGAATTTCATTTATTTATTTATTTATTTATTTATGAGACTTATATACCGCTTTAAGTGCAAGCACTCTCTAAGTGGTGTACACCAGTAAGCAATGTATGTATATATTTACATTGCCCCCAACAATCTGGGTCCTCAGTTTACCTACCTCGGAAGGATGGAAGGCTGAGTCAACCTTGAGCCGGTGAGATTTGAACCGCTGACCTGTTGAACACAGTCAGCTAAAGTGGCCTGCAGTACTGCACTCTAACTGCTGCGCCACCATTTGTTCTGGTTCTTTCTCGTTTGGTTCCATTCATCTTCTCCCCGGAAAGCATTATTCATTTTAATCAAACTGAATAGTCTGGAATGTGCTCAGAATCATTTTGGAATAGTGTTCACCTCATCTTTTCACATTTAAAAACTGTCAAAACTGAAGTTGCTCTATTTCAATTCAGAGTTGAAAACTGAATTGGTTTGAGGAATTCAGATTGCCAACAAAATTTTAGATAACAATAATATTTTGCTCAAAGTTTTTTTCTAATTTAAAACTCACAACTTATCACTAATGAACCTTGTAGTGATCTCATATTCTTTTGTATAAGAACTTACCATTTCTAAGTTCTCTTGTGTTACAAATTTCAGTTTGTTTTCCATACGACGTAAGGCATGGGATAAGTCCTCATTTTTCCTACTTAGACGTTTATTTTTGTCAAGCAGTGGTTTGTACTGGCTCTCAGCTTCTCTGACACGTTTCAGCTGAAAAGTAGAGGAACAAAAAAATATTTACATATGGTTGTGTACATGTGGCTGCTGTACAAAATCCAATGCATTTATAGGGATTGCTATTGCTAAACGAGGTGACTTAATTTTATTTAAGGACCCATATGGCAGCCTATCTCATATAAGGACTGTATATGGCTCACAACAATCCATTAAATATGGTTAAAAGCAAATAGTAATTCTTCCAGGTGCCAGACCTTGCAACTCAACCACCACCTTAGCCCAATCAATTCTTGGAAGGAAATCCAGGTCTTCACAGCTCTCTGCAAAGGTAAAATGGCAGGGAATCCCTAAGGTCTCAGGTGGGAGGCTGTTCCAAAACAACCACAATTTTCCGAACCTATGAGAGTTTGGAGTTAAGTTCTTCTCCTATTTGAGTCCCAAAGGTGTTTTTTCAAATGGCAACTGGACTTCGTTTTTCCTTGAAGATGTACAAGTTCTTATCCAAGAAGCTTCTTCACTTCTATTGGATGAGAAGTGAAACGTCTTCAAGGGGGAAAAAAATCCAGTTGCCTTTTGAAAAAACACTTTTGAGACAACCATGACTGATAATCTCCACAGACTTCTATTTGAGTGTTCCCACTTTCTACTCTTGTTCTAAATCCCTTTGCCATCAGAAACACAATTTGTCCTTTTCAGTAGTGGTCTTACATTTCTTTCTGTGAGTCTTTAGATCTACCTTCTTCAGCCTGGCACTCTGCATTATCCTAGCTAGTTGGGTGTTTCAATTGGAGTTCATCTGGAGCAGTGGTTCTCAACCTTTTTAATGCCGCGACCCCAACCGGTCGTAAGTCGAGGACTGCCAAACCGATCATAAGTCGAGGACTACCCAACCGGTCGTAAGTCGAGGACTTTCCCTGCCCGGGAGCACCGCGCATGCGTGGTGCCGCCCCCTGCACCGGCCAAGGTGTAGCTGGCAAGCGGCAGAGATGGCACAGGCCGACCACTGGCTGGGCCACCAGCTGGCCCAGCCCAAGGGAGGTAAGGCACCCGCCGGGCCATATGCGCACCAGCAACCCTCCCTGCGCCCGCTGGCCTCCCACCTCCCATCCTGGCCCTCTTTTACTTACATTTTTAATAGTTGCTCAGCAGGGAGGGGTGGAAACTTCCAGACAGCTCGCCTTCACTGCAGACAACTTGCAGCACCGTTTGCAGAATGGGACTTTTGGCGGGCTCAGCAGGGCAGAGACAGCCTGGACAATTCCTATTGGCTTTTGAAAGCCAATAGACTTAGACTCTATTCAAGAGAGTCTATTCTATTGGCTTTCAAAAGCCAATAGAATAAAAGGGAGTAGCACAGCTAAGGAAAAGGGGAAAAAAATGGCAGACTGCGTTGTTTGGCGACCCCCGTGAAATGGTCGTTCGACCCCAAATGGGGTCCCGACCACAGGTTGAGAACCACTGATCTGGAGGAAGTTAAGTCAGGTAAAACTGCTTTGGATGACAATTATTTACACTTCACCAAGCTTTTTCATTTTCCTCATTGTCCTATGGAAGGTTATAATGGTTTAATTCAACTCCTAGAATTTTTTTTTTAGCTTATCTGAATTTTCTCTAGGTCTTTGTTCCATATGGTTTTTTTTATTGATACTAAATGTCTCTGTTTCAGGTGGTTTGTAACTGGATTTAGGGGTGTTATTGATTAAAATATGACATATATCCCCAAAGGCTATTAAAATTCCATTTGTGCCCTTCTGGTTGGATAGTGATGGTTGCAATCAATTTGGAGTGAGGTAATAATACCCCTTTCCAAGTCTCCTCTATTGCTCTGGGGCAAATTCACTGAAAACAATTATCAAACAATTATTACACAGGATAGATTTGCATGTAACATTCCTTTCAGGTTGCATGCTGTGGCAAACACTAGATTATTGTATTATTCTGTGTACATGAACATATTGGTTCATGGGGAAAAGCTTCTATACTCTTTTGAAGCTTTTTTTAACAGAAATATTCTAAAAATCACAACAAAGGTGACCACTGAATCATTAGCAGTCAGATTATAGTAATGATGCAACCTCACATCAGCCTTTCCTAATCTGTTTCCTGCCAGATGTGTTGGACTGCTGCAAATATCATCTTGTCTGGAAATTGCATCAGTTTTTTTTGTTTTGAGTAGCATATCTACAGAATAGCTGCCTTATACCTTTTAAAAACCTAATACATATTAGCAGATTGAAATGTACACAGGTTTATGTTTTGTTTTTCAAAGCATACACTGACAAACAATCAATGAAAACTTATGTTGAAATAATCCCAAAATATTTAATTATGAGGGTGAAGGTTCGTTCTCCTAGTTTGTGGGTTGGTTTCTGAGCATTTTGTTACCAGGCTAGGTAACATCTTCAGCAGAGTTTAGGGGATGTCAGTGTTCTTCTGTTTATAAGGGCTTCAGGTGTGGGGGTGTCAAGTGAGGGTCTTGTGATGGGTCAGATGTGAGTCAACAGTGAGTCTTGTGATGGGTCTTGTGATGGGAAGATTACATCAGGTCACGGTCATTGGGAGGTAAACTGCTGGTACAGGGGGAGATTGGTATGTGTGTGTGGATTGATTGAGGGTCAGTGCTGTTTCTGGTTGGCTGTGTGGTTGATTTGAATTCTGAGGGGTTCGTAGGCTAGTTATAGGTTGATGTGTCTGTTGATGGAATTGCTTGTGGAGTGCCATGTTTAATTGTACCTATCCTTCCTTCCTTCCTTCCTTCCTTCCTTCCTTCTTCCTTCCCTCCTTCCTTCCTTCCTTCCTTCCTTCCTTCCTTCCTTCCTTCCTTCCTTCCTTCCTCCCTCCCTCCCTCCTTCCCTCCCTCCCTTCCTTCCTTAGGCTAGGTGTTTGGAGAAGCAGAGGTTGTTTACACAACCTATTTTATAGAAATGGCTTTATTTGCTTCCTGAGATGGAACCCATAACTGTATGCAAGACAATCTATGAGCTGCATACTTAATTACCAATTTGGGTGATATAGGGATACCAATATTAGCGTTTGAAAAATGTTCTCACACTATTTTTGAATGGAATATATTGGTGAAAATATTCAGTTGCACGGCTAAAATTTCATTAAGGAACTTGGAGAGAAAGCCTTGCAGCTGCCTCCTCTACTACACAAATCCCATACATAGTCCCAGATCCAAATACAGATCTGCTGCTTTAATGACCTCTATAAATTTATTCTGTCTCCCCCCTCCATATGCCATTATGGTTTATAGTATTAGCTCTGTGAAAGATAAGCTTTACCCCCACAGATGCCATTAACTAGCCTTTAAATGGAATTTTATTCAGACATGGGAAGAAAATGTCAACAGTGTAACTTGTCAGCTTGAAGAGAGTTGCATTAAGGAATGGTTGGCTAGATGAAAATGTATTTAACTAGTTCTAAGTTGTGGCTGCACATTGAAAAAGTCAATGAAACAAGCCACAGCAATTGAGATTATATCTCAACAACATCATTATTCCTCTCCTCTGCTGAATGATTAAAAAGTAAAAATCTTTCCTGTGACCACTCACTCCCAACTTTGAAATTGCTTTATAAAATAAGTATGAATTTATTATCTCCAAATATGGGTTTTTGAAGAGTTATATAATTCTGTCTCAGTGAGTAATTGGTTAATGTAATTCAATTGTCAATTCATTGCAAAGGTTAGTTTTTAACCTCTTTTTACAGGCAACTGGCAACTCATTATGCTAAACGAATGATACAGATACAATAAATTACATTAAAAAAGCGATGAACCATAAATTAGAAGATAATTTCCTTTTAAAAAAAATACCAATTTAAATAACAAAGGATGAATGATGGCATCCAAATCAGATCCAGCACAGAGTCTGGTAGCCTCGCCTCATCTAATGGAATATTTAAATATTTTAAATAAAATATTTATTTGACTAAATATCTAATTGCCTTTATTTAAATAAATGTAAATAATTCATTTATTAGCAAAGCTAATTCATATGGACAAATACTAATGACTACAAATGCACAAGGTGATGCATTCTGGGCCAAATATAATTCCTGGGTTGTCTCCAACAGAAGCTCCAGGTATAGCACATTGCAAATCAAACAAGAAGTGAACAAGGTGTGAGTGCAACCGGTGCACAACATGAATCAGTACAAAGACCTCCTAGCTATCCCTGCTACTTGTTTTTTAAGCAGGAGCTGAGAGTCCAGCTGTGATTCCCAAATTACAAGCCAGATCTTCATGAGAAAGCCAAACTCCATGCAATTGACTCAACTGTGCATTAATGTTCCTCATTAGCTCCCTCACCCAATGGCTTCATAATTGATGGTATAAAAGTCCACTGAGAGATCAAGCAAGATCAGAAGAGCCATATTTTCCCATCCCATCCTTCTACAGATCAACATGGAAATGTGCAGAGAGGGCAGAAGTATAGTCCATAATATGCAAAAGCTTGCTTTTTCAGGCAATTTTTCTCTTCATCTCTTTTTCTTGGAGGACAAAGTATATACAACACTTTAACTGGGATACAGTTTTTTTCCCCACCGCCCAACTGATTGAGTGGAGTTATTTTAATCCGAGGAATGTTTGTTTAAATTTACCCTTAAGACACTTGGTCATTTGTCACCTTGTTGTGCTTCCACAGTGTATTAACCCCTTCATTAACTTAGTCAAAAGGAAACCAGAAGCCTGGAAGCTCCTTTTCAGACTAACACATTTTATTGAAAGACATAAGCACAATTTTCATCAAATTCATTAATCCAAAAAGATGCTACCCAAATCCTCCTAATTTTTGATTTCCAGAGCCAAGAGACTAACTTGGCTCCTCTCCTACAGATCTACTATTAGCCAACTAAGATTTTCTTTTTTAAAAAAAATTAGAAACACATGATTTCTTACAAGTTCATTTCGTTCTTCTGACAACAGTGCATTCCGATCTTCGAGTTTTCTGATGATGGCGCTTAATTCAGCAATTTTAAGTTGGAAACGCCGAGCATCCCTTTCGTCCAACTGCTGTTCCTAAAACAAAAAACAACTGCAAATAACTGTTCGGTAAGAAACCCCCTTTTAGAACTTTCTACCAACTCCCATCGTCTTCCTTGTCAGATTCCATCCATTACTAATTCTAAAAAATCTGTACCTTAACACTAAAAAGATGAGACTAACAGAAATTAAGAAAGAAACTATTATGCAAGAGAAGAGGCAAATGAAAACAAAATATGTAAACAAATACAGATTCACAAGTGTTGCTTTGGAAATGTGAAATAAATGATTGAGAATTGCTACAATGTTTCATATTTGTGCCACTGTTGAATTGAGAACTTTAAATGAGCCATGTATCATTTTCCTATGATAATATATTTATTAATACTGACATATAACTTGTATTAAGTGTGTGCAACAAACCAACTTATCCATTTGGCTCCCATGGAAACTGTGAATTTAACAGAGCACTGACATGGGTCGCTTTAATATAGATATAAGAATAGTCAGTTTCATTTGTTTTGAGCAAAAAAGCAATTTAGTTATAATAACATTTCCGTTTACCCTGTTTTTCCATTTAGTAGCAATTTTAATTTACTTGGAAAGTTTTAGGTATGACCCTTTACTTCAGGGGTAGTCAACCTTGGCTCTTTTATGACTCGTGGACTTAGCTGGCTCAGGAATTCTGGGAATTGAAGTCCACGAGTCATAAAAGAGCCAAGGTTGACTACCCCTGCTTTACTTCAAGCAAACATGAGCACCTAGGGACCAAAGTAACTCAACAGGGCTAGGATTCTTCATTCAACAGGTGCAGGAGAGGCTTGGAACAAAGGGGACACAATATCTCTGTTTATGTTTTTGAAAAAAAAATTCTATAGGTCAAATTAAGCAGCAATACAAAGGAAACCTTGATGAGATTCAACAAAGAAAAGTTTAACAAATGTCACAAAAAAATCTGCAGTTAGCAAATTAAGACAGAAGCTGGAAGAGGTGGCATAGTTACGTAAAAAAGGGTGAATTTAGACTGAATGGTGTAAGAAATTGTAAAGTATGGAAGAAAAAGCATATTAATTGGCATCTCATTTATTCTCTAGAGTCTAGAGCACTGACTAACATCAAAAGCACAATCAATCCATCAGGATTAGTCATGAGACTTAGGATACCATTCTTTTTCACAGAAATTTGTAGGCTTCCTTGAAAACAAGCAGACAGCTATTAATTAGGTTAACTTATAAGTTTGTGTTGTGAGTCTCACAATGTCAAACTAGGCACACATTCAAGGTAAGGTACAGTTGCTTAAAAAAAAAAAAGCTAAGCAGTTTTTTGCTTTTGTTTTAACGGCTGGCAAAATAAAAGCAAACCAGAAACTCAGGGTGTCATCTGAGTACATCTGAGCTGAAATCATCAGGGTTTCCTCAACCCTACTTGCTTTTTAAAACAAGCAAGCAAGCAAACCAATCAAAACCAACCTTGCTGGTCGGGGCATTCACTCATCAAGATTTTGGCACAATTTGTGGTTTTAGGGAAAACTACTAGAAAGTGCTTACAGGACTTCCTGAGTGATCTGAAGTGTCTCCTGCACCACTTGGATGAGGAACTTCCCGCTTGGGACTACTCAGATGCCGGTCAGCCTCTTTGAGCTGGGACAGCTGTTCATCTAAAGCCTCCTTTTGGAGTTGAAGTCTCTGAGTATGCCCAGCTTGAATCCCTAACTCTTTTTCCAGCACGTAGACTGCTCTGTCTTTAAATTTGATCTCCTCCATCTACAAGGAGAATAAAATACAATCACATACAGTACAGTTCTTCAGTTGCCATGGAAACTGGCAGCATCCTAGCTTGGGGAACATGTTAAATTACAGACAGCGGTGAATAAACACTGGATCCAATTCTATAGATTTCAAACCCGCTATTATTAGCAAAATCAGATCTGAGAATGCTGCAATAAAAGTCTTTTGACGTAGGTATAATTCTTTATCATCATCATCATTAATATAACACAGTGATAAATGATTCACTGGAATATCTGTAAAAATGAACATATGCCGGTAATGAAACACGGAACGGTAATGAAACGTGGTAATACAGAGTTGAAAAAGTAGTCAAGAAAGAGCAGATTGTGGGATTTCTGAATAGAAACTGGAAAAGCTTTGCTTCATAGCACATCAAATTTAATTGTGTTCAAAAAGAAAGTGTAGCTAGTTGATGTGGCAATTCCAGGAGAAAGTAGAAAGAAGACAAAGAATTGGAGGTCATAAAGTATCAAGATCTGAAAAACCAAAATTGAAAGATTATGGCATAAACCTGCCATGGTGATCACTATGGTTATTGTCACACCAGTGCCATACCCAAAACATTTTGGTTATGCACTTTGTGCATTGACAATATTTTCAGGTGTCAATTAGAAAAGACCACATGGCTTGAATCTGCACATATACTACACCAATATATTATGACATCCTAGGTTTTTGGGAAAAATTGATGCATATGAAGGCCAACATTAGTTACAGAACTGGAAACTATGATTTCACATTGTTGTGTAAATAATAATAATAATAATAATAATAATAATAATAATATCTGGCTGTGTGACCTATAGTAATACATGCATACAATGCCTTCCATTTGGAATTTAAGTAAGGAAAATAATTTATGCTTTAAACATTTCTATTTCTGTGGAGGAATTCTAATTTGCTTTACTGCCTAAGGATGATAGAAAAATCTGAAGCACGAGTTAAAATTCATTCTGAATTCACAAGAAATTTTAGCCATGCCTCTTATTTTTTTCTGTATAAATAGTATTAGCCAATCTGGTATCTTCCTGTTGTATTGGACCAATTCTTAAAAACTTCACCAATATGAGTGTGGCTGGACACTAATGTGGACTGTAATTCAACCTATCTGTTGTATACCAGATTTAGGAAGGCTGATACCAAATGTTAGAATGATAGTTAGAAGAAGACTTAAAGACTGATTACTTTGAGGAAAGCAACAATTTAGAAGTCATAGGATGAACGTGGCATGTTGTAGGGAATTCTTTAAAAAGGAGGCAGGTCCATAGCAAAAACATCATTTTGCTTAAACCTATGTGAAATTAAGTTACTAAAATTTAATGCAGATACAGTAATATTTTTAGTCATACATTTAATGGTTTATTTCCTATCACATTAAACATAAAACCAGAAAGTTCTGAATGAATTCTGTCTAAGCTTTGGAGGCACATCTTCAGTTTGTGTTCCTTGATCTAATTCAATCCCATACTTGATGCAAAACTTTAACAGCTACAACCTATCCAATAGATTCCAGTCCCTTTTAGAAGTTCTTCAAGGTTCTCATAAATTCTAATATAAAATTATTTTCACTTGTCAGTATCTTAAATTCAGCAGATTCAAACCTTATTCTCTGAATAGCAGAGAGTGTACATAGTTTGGTATATATAGTAGATATTGAAAAGGCATTTGTTTATGCAAATTGAACTTAGGCAGCCAATTGTGAGCTTCAATATAGTGAGACAACATACATGATATTTTTTCCTAGGACTAATTAGTTAACAACAGCTTTCAAACCTAGTTTTTGGAGGGTTGGATAAAAGGGATTAATTACAAACTAAAGAGGCAGTAGAAAAAGCTAAATTTAAAACAAATTAAGTTGGTCTGAACAGTGTAATGACAGTTTGATACTTTTATGAATGCTGGTGAAACCCATGCAAACTGTTGATGGAAAAGTACAGATTAATGGGTCAAGATGTAAGGCCAATTCATCCTTTGTAGAATCTGAAAGTTGGGAAGCCATTCAACTTGGAAATTTCTACTTAGGCAAATTTCAGTTTTCTGCTAGTTCCTTTCCCCCTTCTTGTGTCACATGCTATACAGGGGAAATGCAAACAAAACATTTGGGCATGATATTTTTTTAAATAGGGGTCTTTGGCAGATTTTATTTTGGGGGTGGGGGTAGTAGTAATAGTGGTAGAAATTGCATGCATGCACTATGAAAAGCTTCTAGGCCAGTGGTTCTCAACCTGTGGGTCGGGACCCCATTTGGGGTCGAACGACCATTTCACGGGGGTCGCCAAACAAGGCTGTCCGCAATTTTTTCCCCTTTTCTTTGGCCATGCCCCTGGCACCCAGTGATGTATAAGTGGTTGGGGGTCACCACAACATGGGGAATTGTATTATGGGGTCGCGGCATTAGAAAGGTTGAGAACCACTGTTCTAGGCTATGCTGTCTTTGTTTTCCCTTTGTGGTTTTGTTTGAACATACCTGTCGGCCTTCCCAGGTAGAACAAACAGGAAACACAATAAAATGAGCTAATTCTACTTTATTGTAATGTTACATTAACAGAATCTTGCAAGTCTGAATGTACAAATATCCATCATCTCCTTTACAGCCTGAAAACATGGGGATGGAGTCCCTTCTGAGTCTCTTTCTCCATCCATTATGTAGCTGTGGATTATGGTCTTTTGTATCAGACTGTTCCATAACCAATATCTCTTCCCCACCTCCCTGGTTCATTCCCACGTACCATTATATCACCCTAGAGAAAACATTACCCACAGAACATCATTTAGTCACTACATTCCAAGGAAATATACACAAGAATAGAGGAGATAATTTATTTGCACATCTGTAATGAAACTAAACTCTTAATCGCACTACTCCCCCAAGCATACATTCCTTAGACCACATTATAATACTATATATAAATATACATTTAGGTTGTCATACTACAAACTCTGTCTTTTGTCATTTTTTTTTACGTGTATTAGAACGCTCTATCATAGCTATACTTATAAAGGAGGGATTATTTCTTTAAAAAAAGAAGGCTGCTAAATTTCCATTCATCTCAAAATCCCTTTTAACAGAAATGCATATCAAAAATTAAAAAGGACAAAAAAGATCAGTCAGTAACATTGCTTCTTACCAATATTTTCATTTCTGCAAAGAAAAAAGGATTGTGTATTTTTGTGCATTAAAAAGACCACACATAGCAAATCAACACAAAGCACATTTTCTATGGTTACTATAGGATGACTATTAAGAGGATTATTTAAAACAATGACAGCACAAATTTTAAAAAGTTAGATTATATAGAGAGCACGTTAGAAAAATGACATATACAGCTATGCATACCAATACAAAAACACATTCAAGCAAACACTTTCTTGCAACATATTTTGCTTCATACAAGCAGCAAGACAAAGAAGACGTATGATGAAAAACAACTCACTGGGAGGGCTGCATCAGCGTTCAGGTGTGTCTCCCACCCAAAACTATCCCATGCCTTTCATTCATCGCTCTAGAAAGCAATGCTCTCCATGTCTTGCCTTGCTTGGAATTTTTACCACCTACTTTCAGTAACCGGCCTACTTGTGAAATAGACTCAATGAATATACATGAGAGTAATAACCAATCATCTTTAAGGAAATGCCTTGCTTAACAGCATGGCTACTTCCAGTTTGCATTTAGCAGGTTGCCTCTACCAAGACTGTGTTTTAATTAATAAACAGCTTGCGAGCCCTACTACTGTCAATTATGGAAACATTGTGCTATGAAATATGGGCTATTTTTCTGTGCTCCCTCTTTTTCTCTCTCCAGTCTCTGCAATCTTTATTAGTATTTTTTTTTAATTCAGCTGGCTTTCAGAGTTATGGCTATTATTTATCAGGCTGCATTAAAACCAACATGTAATTTGTAATGCTGTGTCAATTGTTTATAGCATGGTGGTCTTTATTAGCATTGCTAACAGCATATACCAGCAGAAGCTGCAGAAAAGAAAAGGCTATATTTTTAATGTGAAACATCTCTGTACAAAACAAAAGATCACCCAGACTTTTCCTGGGCACAGCTATTGGTTGTCAGTAAGAAAATCCATCCCTGGTCATTGACTAATATATAGCTTCCTTCTTTTCTGCAGGAAAAAATTTAATGGAGTATTTCAGGAATGTAGCATCAGAAGTCTGTCTTTCAAAGACCTTTTCATATATTTTAGTTGGTTATTAATAAAGGAGTGACTAAGATTCTGAGACAGTAGAAAATAAATAACTATGTTAGTCAATACGTCAGTTTGTCCCTGGTTTGAAATGATAGAAGCTATAGTCCATCCTATCTAGAAGTGATCAGGTTGGGAAAACCAGCAATATGTCATTTAGAAGGCAGCTGATCACATGACACGAGGCCAAAATAATAATTGATTCATCTAGCTGTCTATTTATCGAAAGAGCCCTCAAATAATTCTTATTTTGTAGCAATGGCTTGAAATCTTTTGCAAATGCTGAAGATGGAACTGGGGTCCTTTGACACATTAAAACTGTGCCTTACAGTTTTTTCCCATTTTCTAAGCATACCTAGGGAAAAGTCATGTAAACATTTCCTATTATTATGGTCTCTCTGTGGGTTTTTGCCTTTAGAATATTTTTTCATGTTATATATTATAAGTAATAAATCTCAGTCTACCAGTATAGATCCATCTTGATAAATTGGGCGATACTATAATTTAAAGACAGAGCTGCACATCTGGAAAAGTGCCTTAATTTCTGGATTCATTGTGACCCAGGTTCCCATGCAAGTTCGTATGTCTGTATGAAAGAGGATGGGCGATAATATTCCAGATTGCGGCAGCACTGAGGGATTGTACCCAGGGCTCCCTAAACCCTGACCTTAGCATTGTATGACACTAAGCCTGGTGGTGCAGTGGTTAGAATGCAGTACTACAGGCCAATTCACTGCTCACTCCAGGAGTTCAATTCTGAGTAGCTCAAGATTGACT